ATTGCCTTGGGTGTCATCATGAGGCCGTGGTCTGCGGCTCGGGATGCCTGGCGGACGGCGAATTGTAACTCTTTTTTTAATCGGCCAATTTTCTGAAGAATACGAATGCGGTCCGTAGCTTGCCTGCGGTGATCGGCTGAAAGTGCTGAGCAATTTTCGTGATGTTTACAAACGCTCGTCGTTGCTGGTAGTTCATTGCGATATGTAACTAGCATTCATTTACGCGCGTTCAGTCCAATAAATAATACATACTTTCACCCGTCTTCGTATGTTGAGGATCGATATCACCATGGCAGACTGCGCTGCTTAGTTGTAGGAGTTGTACGCAGGGTTGGTCGGCTGGGGAGCCTTATAGCTCGGGGCGGCGTAGGTGGACTCCGGGGCCTTGTAAGCCGGGGCGGCGTAGGTCGGCTCAGGGGCCTTGTAGGCCGGTGCAGTGTATGTGGGCTCCGGGGCCTTGTAGGTCGCAGCAGCGTACGTCGGCTCAGGGGCCTTGTAGGCCGGGGCAGCGTAGGTGGGCTCCGGGGCCTTGTAGGCCGGTGCGGCGTAGGTCGGCTCTGGTGCCTTATAGGCCGGCGCGGCGTAAGTCGGCTTAGGGGCCTTGTAGGCCGGTGCGGCGTAGGTCGGCTCCGGGGCCTTGTAGGTCGGGGCAGCGTACGTCGGTTCGGGGGCCTTATAGGGGGGCAGCGTATGTCGGCTCCGGGGCCTTGTAGGCAGGGGCGGCGTAGGTCGGCTCCGGGGCCTTGTAGGTCGGGGCAGCGTACGTCGGCTCGGGGGCCTTATAGGTCGGGGCAGCGTACGTCGGCTCTGGGCCTTGTAGGCCGGCGCGGCGTAGGTCGGCTCCGGGGCCTTGTAGTCGGGGCAGCGTACGTCGGCTTAGGGGCCTTGTAGGTCGGTGCGGCGTAGGTCGGCTTCGGGGCCTCGTAAGCTGGCGCGGCATAGCTCTGTTCCTGGCCTTGTGAGCCGGCGCGGCGTAGGCGGGCTGCGGGGCTTTGTAGGCGGGCTGCGGGTGGTACTCCGGGTACTGGGCCTCGCCCTCGTACTCCACCTGGGCGACAAAGCCGGACTCGCCGTCTACGCTGTAGGAGACCTTCTGCGTGCGGCCGTCGGGCAGCGCGACGTAGTAGGCCCGCTGGTGGCGTAACCGTCCCGGCTCTCCTGCGCCGAGTACTGCGGCGCGTACTCCCCGTAGCCTTTCACCGCGTAGTCGAACACGTACTGGGCCGGCTCCTGAGGACGAGAGGTGGATGCCAGGGCGCGCTGATAGTCGTCTGGGTGGGGATCGGCGCATCGGCTGTTGAGGTCGTCAGTCCCACCAACCCGGGCAGAAGCCTGGACGGTGAACGTATCCCGCGGTGGGGATCAAACCCAGCTCGTGACGCGGCGGCTCAGGTGTTTGGCCTGCGCCCGGCCTTGTGAAGGCCGGCCACGCGACGCCGGGAGCCATCTGGCCCGACGATAAACCACGGACGGCTGGACGAGCCCCATGTGTGGCGGCGCCGCCAAACACCGCACGTGCGTCATCCCTGGGCCGCTATCGCGAGCCGCATCTCGCGCTGAGTGTTTGGGCGGCCCCGGCGCGCAAATAATGCCGGGGAGGTTCAGCAAACTGCAGGACGAAAGCGGTATTGGGGTGTTTTTTTTTTTGGCACGCACTGTCACGCTTACCTCATACTCTGGCGTATTGTAGCTGGGCGCGGCGTAGCTCTGAGCATGGCGGCTGGAGCAGCGTAGCTTTGAGCCTGCTGGCTCGGAGCTCCGTAGCTCGGGGCCGCAGTGGTGGCGGGGCCTCGTAGCTCGGGGGGTGGTTCCCTTGTCGGCGGCGGCCACGGCCAGCACGGCGGCGACAAGGAAGAGCTGCGGTCACGCGGAGGTTCAGAGGTCATGCAGAGGTCATCGTCGACCTGTAAAGCGGCCACGTGGCGGGGGCCCCTCAAGCAGCGTTTCTGTGCGACCGTCACGAGCGCTAATGCTGGACGCCATTACCCAGCGACGCCACGCGCACCAGTGCTGAACGCTATTGCATGTTTCTTGGAAAAGCCGAGCACAGCCGCCTGTGGGAATGACCCCGGGGATCCCCGTGAGAGTGGCGGCAGTGGTGCGGCGTCGATCGCGGCCGCCGTCTCTCACCTTCATGCTGCTGCTGCGGGTTGTGGCTGCTGGCCGGTTCAACTGGACTGTTGGCTCGACCCGCGGACCGGCGCCTTATGTAGGCGGGCGGACAGGGTCAGCCGCCCGCCCCGGGGCACCTCGCGTCCCGCGCGCCGGCCGGCCCGTGCCACCGATCGCGGTAAATAGCGTCCGTTGCGTCACGACCGCTGCCGGCGCGGCGCGGAACGCACGCGCCACGCCGGCAGAGCGGTTCCTGGTGGGGCCCGTGCTGGGGACGGGCGCGGCCTGGCACGGGGGCTTCAGTTGACGGTCAGGCCTCGCGGCTGGCCGCTGACGTCAGCAGCTGGGTCGAGAGTGTGCTGGTCGGGTTGTGATCTCGTCCCAGACGTGTCGAACTCAGGTCCCCGTTGGCTGAGGGCGGGCTCGGCATCGGCCTGAGAAAGGTCGGGTTCAGGTTTATGCCCATGTCCGGCTGAGGGTCCCCGCTCGTTAACTCGTGTCGAGCCGCCCGCGCCAGGACGTCAGTTGGAGGCCCGTCACCGGAATGGTCACGGCAGGGTACAGTCCCCATGCTCCGTTTTGTTTACGGGCAGCTGCTGTCAATGGGCTCGACACTCCCCCTGCCAGACCCGGATTGTAATGTTGACACTGACGTGCATGCATAAACCTGGACGTCGATGCCGTAGCGGGGAACCGTTGACGTTTTCTAAGATACGATTGTGTATGAATGCGGCCCGGCTGGTGTCGGGCCCGCGCTGTGTGACTGTGATCGACATGCGAGTAAACGGAGATGCAGGCGGATCAGTTGGCCACCAGCCGGTTGTTTTCGAATTCACACGGCACCATGGTGCGAGTCTGGGGGTGTGCCTCTGAGCAAGGAGGCCGTCTTGTGCCGGGGACTGCGTGCTCTGTACGCCACTCCACCCCCACCCTCAGCGGGTATCGTCCAGCCGTCACACCGGCGGTCCACGAGCGGGTCCCGGAGCTGTGGCCGGCGGCGACGACCACCCCGCGTACGTGCCGTGCAGCGGCGGCGCGCGGCCAGCGAGCCGGGCCCCCTCAGAGCGTCGGCCGGCAGGTCAACACGCAGCCGGCGCGCCAATCAATAGCACGCTTCCCGGCAGCGGGCCGAACAGGAGGCGAGCGTGGCCGACCGGCGGCGGGTCAGCCGGGTCACACACGGCTGCAACCCGCCTGGATCGGAGCAGTGACGTCCCTCGCGAGAATGTGCGCCCTGGAAAATGGCGTCGGGCTTGTGTGGGAAGGAAGGAGGCTCTACGGTACCGCTGCATCTATCGCGATTAGCCGTCAGGTCCGGCACACGCCCCCGCTATTGTGGTACAGAATGATGAAGCGCGGCTGGTGTTAGATGGTCGGGCTGCTACAGCTTTCCAGAATAAAATGTTCGCTATGCGGAAGACACGGGGCCGTGAAAAATGGCGCTTCCAGCATGGGATGAAGATTGCAGAGCTCTGCTGCGGATTGCGCGGCTCAGCCCCACGGCAAAGCATTTTCATTTATTATGTTGGGAACGGACATCGGAGTTGATTGCACCTTGACCTACTGGAACACTATCCATTTGAGTTGCTTTTCCCCAGAAGGGCACATCGATCATGATTTTGAGCCAGACTCCGCCAGCGGAGCGTCAGTATCGTGACTGGGACCACAGACATCGTGCAATACCGCTTTGGTTGATCCGGTTTTTCAACAAAGTGCATAAGCGTCTGCCGCCGCGTGTGCAATAACTTGACGTTGGGGAACGCCCTGGGAGGCTCCATTCGTGCAAGGCATGAGATAAGGCCATGGCTATTAAGGCATAGAATGTGACTGATCTGGGTCTGGAATGGGGTCATGAAGTGGTGGAGCAGTGCAGAATCTTCCGAAGCAGAGCAGTTTTCGGAACGGAGATGTCTGGAGTAAAGTCCCTCCAGCCAGCCTTCTAGCCAGGCGCAGCCCACAGTCGATCCTTATCACGCCACTCAATTTTGCTGATTGCTAAGCGTGCCATATTTCATGTTTCTAGTCTCTCCTGTTTGGCTATCACCACTGGCTGGTGTGGCACGCGCGGCCACATGCCTGAGCATCGCACAGTCTGCCGACAATGATTGGATTTTCGTCGTTGCCAGTGGAAGTTTCAGTTCGTTCCGTCTTCGTGTTTCGCGGCATCCGTTCAAACATCACGTGTCGATGCTGATAAGTGTGTAATGGGCCTTTTCAGTTTGGATGACCTGGCAAAAACGCTCATTAGCCCCTGGCACGTGACCTAAACGTGGTCTTGTTTTGCTTCGCGCGCCGCCGACCAAAGCGGGGCGGGTGAATAAGTGGGGAGTGCTGTCGCTGTCCTGATGCTGACGCGCTAGCACCGCCAGTGCGGAGGGGGAGGCGGTGCGCGGATTGACTGGAGCACGTGCGGACCCGGAGGCCAGCCCGAGCTATCTTCCCGAGCCCCCTATGCGGGCGTCGAGGACGGTGCAATCGCACGGTTGCTCTATCGTAGGGGAAGGAAGCTCAGAATTTGGCGTTGGCTTATTGGCGCTTGCACTGGATGTCCATTTATTCGGCTCCTGCGCACAACCCCTGCAAGGCTTGCATGACCTTGACCTGTCCCGGGCAACCCCCTTCACCAACAGCATCGGGCCCGCCCATCTGCATGAGCTCAATCTCGACATCTTAATGGCATTGCGCGGGCGTCATGCGCACGGTCATAAACCATAGCCGTGCGTAAATTGCGTACAAGCCGTTAATTTTCCGGGAGAGAAAACGACACCTTACCACACCTCCCCTAAGCAGTGCGGCGTCAGTGGCCGGCCGTTTAGCAGTGGTTGCGGCGCTCTCTCGGCCGCGGCGCCGCCGGCCGCTGCTCTGTTTGATCAGCCTGCGGTCGGGACGGGAGGCGGAGAGAGGGCGCCGTGCGGCCGGCCTGCCCGGCCGTCCACGCCCCGGTACAGGGCCCGGGCGGGGGGGCGGGTGTGTCGCGGCGGCCCTGGCGGCCGACCCAGACCGTCTGATCTACGGTTTGGCCCGTCCCGGCCTGGTGGCAGGGGGGGCCGGCGGCGGCCGGGCGCACGCCCTTCGAAACGGCGCCGTGTATTCTCTGGAAAAGGCGCCGAGTATTCTCCCGGACAGGCGCCATGTGTTCTCTGGAATAGGCGCTGAGTATTCTCCGGGACAGGCGCCATGTATTCTCCGGGAAAGGCACCGTGTATTCTCCGGGATAGGCTCTGAGTATTATCCGGGAAGGGCGCAGTGTATTCTCCGGGAAAGATGCCGTGTGTTCTCCGGGATAGGCGCAGTGTATTCTCCGGGATAGGTGCTGAGTATTCTGTGGGGCAGGTGCCGTGTATTCTCCGGGAAAGGCGCTGAGTATTCTCCGGTACAGGCGCCGGCCATGTATTCTCCGGTACAGGCGCCGGCCATGTATTCTCCGGGATAGGCGCAGTGTATTCTCCGGGATAGGCGCTGAGTATTCTTTGGGGAAGGCACCTTGTATTCTTCGGGAAAGGCACCGTGTATTCTCCGGGGTAGGCGCTGAGTATTCTCCGGGCAAGCTGTCTGAGGCTGTTAGGGCGACATTAAATGGAAAACTTGTGAAGAGATGTGCAATTTGCATCGCTGTTTCCACTTACACTGGTTTGGCGTATGCAGTTAATCCCATTAGAAGGGACTTTCTTCCAGACGTCCGCTTCGCGACCGTAACGGTCAGATAGCATTTTGCCATTTTCACAATTTCTGTCAGACATTTGTGGGTTTTGCATTCAGAGTACTTGCAGATTATGGTATATTGATGTACGCTGAACCCACCGTCCTCATCAAAGCTTATCAAAAGTCATGGGATAATTCTACCTCTGACCTTTCGCTAGACAGCCAGACAGGCCTGCGGTGGGTTTTACCCGCCCGACCAGCGCTACAACACGGCCGCACCGATCCAGGCGGACGATCTTTGGCCGGTTGCCACCCGACGCTTCAGTGCCAGCCGGACCAGACAATGCGTCCGTTCCGGGACGGCTCGCACCCAGGGCCGGCGCCGGACGTCACGCGTCACGCGTCGTCTCGCCACCTTCTCACCTGCCGCGGCGTCCGCCTTCGGCCGCGGCGGCGGCGGGGCGGCCGTGTCTCGGTGCTGCCCGGCGGACCTCGGCGCCTCGCCACCCGCCGCGCCGGCCGTCAGCGACTCGTTGCCTGGGTCGGGCCGGGGCCGCGCGGCACACGGATGAACCCCAGGGACCGCTGCATCGATTGGGCCGCACCTGGCGGCGCGAGCTGGCTCACCCGGTCACGGCGAGACGACCTTGGGCCGGCCGTACCGGGTCAGTGGGTGACACGGCGGGAGACGCAGAGGAGCGGTGGCCTGGGAGCGGCGCGTGACCGGTGCAGGCGGAGGTGACCCCAGATTTGGTCGGTGGATCGGGCCTCCCCCCCCCCGAGGTCACTGTCAGGTGTGGTTGGCCTCACCTACCGGAACCATGGAGCCGTCACGGACCTGAGGTCACCAAGGCGAAGGGCTGGCCAGAGCTAATTACGCGGCGAGGTGCGGCTTATCTTGCCACGACCACCGACAGGCGCGACTGACCTGAGGCCGCTGACAGGTGCGGCTGACCTGAGGCCGCTGACAGGCGTGGCTGACCTGAGGCCGCTGACAGGCGTGGCTGACCTGAGGCCGCTGACAGGCGTGGCTGACCTGAAGCCGCTGACAGGCGCGACTGACCTGAGGCCGCTGACAGGCGTGACTGACCTGAGGCTGCTAACAGGCGTGGCTGACCTGAGGCCACTGACAGGTTCGGCTGACCTGAGGCCACTGACAGGCGTGGCTGACCTGAGGCCGCTGACGGGTGTGACTGACCTGAGGCCGCTGACAGGCGCGGCTGACCTGAGGCCGCTGACAGGTGTGACTGACCTGAGGCCGCTGACGGGTGTGACTGACCTGAGGCCGCTGACAGGCGCGACTGACCTGAGGCCGCTGACAGGCGCGGCTGACCTGAGGCCGCCTGACGGGTTGTGACTAACCTGAGGCCGCTGACAGGCGTGGCTGACCTGAGGCCGCTGACTGGCGTGGCTGACCTGGCGCCGCTGACTGGCGTGGCTGACCTGGCGCCGCTGAAAGGCGTGGCTGACCGGAGGCCGCTGACAGGCATGGCTGACCGGAGGCCGCTGACAGGCGTGGCTGACCGGAGGCCGCTGACAGGCGTGGCTGACCTGAGGCCGCTGACAGGCGCGACTGACCTGAGGCCGCTGACAGGCGTGGCTGACCTGAGGCCGCTGACAGCGGCCGTCAGCCCGTCGGACGTTCGTGACATCATCATCCCGCCACCTGGCGCCAGGCGTGGCCGGCTGTCAGCGCCTGACGGCCGACCCTGCCCGCCGCCTGCGGCCACTGGTGCGGAGCCGCCGCCGCCGGCGACGGCCCCCCGTATCTGGGCCGGGATCGGCTCGGTTGGTAACCGTGACCCACAGCCGACCACCCAGGCTGCCGCCCGCCGGCACCGACCGCTGGCGGCGGGCCGCAGCCGCGTATTCTGCGTGGATTGGGGCGCTGCGCGTGCTGGCGCTGTGGCCAGCCACCAGACTGCGGCTCCAATCTGGATCGGCAGGCTGTGAGGCCAACAGACGGCTGAAATTAGTCCGCACCTGTTCTTCGAGGGGAGAGACTAAATGCGCGGAACGTGCAAACGTTTTTGCTGATAGCGGTTCAATGAAAAGTGACGGTAGCTTTGGCAGCTCCGTTTCACCAGTCAAGACAGAAATCATTACCGACGCATTCGGCAGTGACGCAACAGCAGCAAATGGAGCAGCAGCCTGGAGTGAGGCGCCGCAAGCGCGGGCCCCGCTCTAGTCCTCAGGGTGCCCACGGCGACGCGGGTGCCGCGCGCGCCAGGCCTGCCGCAGTGGCGGGGCGTGGTGCGCGTGGAGCGCCGGCCTGGCCTGGTGGTGGGGTGGCGGCCACAAAGTTAGAGAGCACCGAGTGGAAGTTTCGACGTACGACGGTGCCCTGGGATGTTGACGGGGCGCGCCGTTGCGCACAGGCGAGCTGCGTTATTGTGGGCAGCTGTGCCGCCGCCAGCTGGCACCAGCAGGAGGCCAGAGCTGCTCCCACCGCCCGTGGGCGCTAGCCTGTGCCAGGGGGAGACGGTGCTACAGGGCAGTGTCGCAGCTCCCCCCCCCCCCCCCCCCCCCCCCCCCCTCCGCAATGTCGGCACTCGGCCGCCGGCGGTTTCGCCGCCGTACCTCTCTGAGGCGGCCGCCTCAGCGGGGTGTGCCCGACCCAGCCGGGTCGGTCGGAGCTCCTCAGCGGAGTGTACGCGACCCAGCCGGGTCGGTCGGAGCTCTCAGTGGAGTGTACGCGACCCATCCGGGTCGGTCGGAGCTCTCAGCGGGGTGTGCCCGACCCATCCGGGTCGGTCGGAGCTCTCAGTGGAGTGTACGCGACCCATCCGGGGTCGGTCGGAGCTCTCAGCGGAGTGTACGCGACCCAGCCGGGTCGGTCGGAGCTCTCAGCGGAGTGTACGCGACCCAGCCGGGTCGGTCGGAGCTCTCAGCGGAGTGTACGCGACCCATCCGGGTCGGTCGGAGCTCTCAGCGGGGTGTGCCCGACCCATCCGGGTCGGTCGGAGCTCTCAGTGGAGTGTACGCGACCCAGCCGGGTCGGTCGGAGCGTATGCAGTGGGGTATGCTCAACCCACCCGGGGTCGGTCGGGGCGTATTCAGACGGGCCATTAAGAACTTGCCGGCGCCAGATCCATAACGCCTGGTGCAGATGGCGCCGGTAATTTTCGCGTGCGAGGCAGTAGTAAATCCGTCCATTGTAGAGTTTATCGGGCTGAGTTCTGTGAACGAAAACTCGTTGGAGTTTCTCGGAATGCAATGAGAGGCATAGGGTGCTGAGATACATTCGGCCAACAGTGGGTATTGTGGGGGGGGGGGGGGGAGAACATTGCCGATAGTAATGATGCTGATTTAGTGTTTCCTCTCCCATTCCTTGTTCGTCGCCAACATGCCCGGTAGTATTGTCGAACTTTCGTCGCCGCCGTTGTGTAGTCTTCCTTCATGCCCGCGTCCTTCCCGCCCCATGTTTCTCCTTCGCCGTCGGCTCCCGTGCGCAGCGTAACCAGCCAGCCCCAGGGGCAGCTCCAGCGTGACATCCGGGACTCCGGAAAACAGGTCTTGAAAGGGAGGCCAACTTATCCGCCCGTCTTGGCCGGTCAGGCCCTCGTTTGCTCATGCTGGGACCCGCCCGTGGCTAGTCCAGCTAATGGCACGGTCACCGAGCGCTGACGCTGCAGCGTCCACCGTCCGTCCGCTGTGTCCCCCCCCCCCCCCCCCCCCCCCCTGCTCTTCCGCCTCTTCCACTCTCCCCCGGGCCGTGACGTCCTGGCTGGGTCCAGCCGTCGTGAGTCGGGCTGCGCTGGTCCGTGGCTGCCCGTTCTACTGACGCTCAGCCCGGGACGTCGATCGACCACCCTGGATACCGGTCCGCTGTAACAAGGAGAGGTCCGCCGTACCGAGGACACCGGTCCGCCGCTTTTTGTTTCAACCGGTCGGCCGTTCTCGGCCCGCCTCTCCCGAGCAGGCGCGGGCGGCGTGTTTAGCCGGCTGCTGGGCTGGCCCGCTGACTGATGGCCCTCGCCCGGCGCGTCGCGGCCGGCGCCGCTGGCAGACGGCGTCTCAACACGGTCGACCTTCGCGGCGAGGCAGCCCGCCGCCGGCGCCGTCGCCGTGCGCCGGCTCTGTTTGGGTGGTGGCCGTGAAGAGGGCAGGCGGCGCGTCGGCCGCCGCGCCCGCCACTGGGTGGGAACATGGAGGTGGCACGGGCTTGCTGGCTGCCGCGGCGGGAAGCCGACGCTAAGTCTAAGCTATGTCAGTCCTAGTCTAAGTCAGCGGTTGACATCTGAGATGACCAAGCGAACCCGGTGGGATGGGGCGGAGCGCAGGAGCTGCCACCTGCGGCAGCCGGCGTGCGGGGACGGGCACTTTGCTGGAACAGGCACGTGCGGGGGTGCGAGGCCAGTTGCCACGGCGGAGGTCAGTGGACGGCCCGCGACGTCCCCGATTCGGGGCGAACCGACGACCCGCCGCCGTCAGACCTCCCGAAGTCGGGGCCGTCGACGGTGTGCGACGGCGACCGGGGTCGCGAGCTGGCCGAGGTGCGGCGGCGCCGACCGGTCTGCGGCCGGCCGCGCCGCCGGCTGGCACCGCCGCCCGGCTATTTCCAGCGCCGCTGACGGTCGCCGGAGGTGCCGTCGGTTCGGTGCTGTCCCGTGCGCGGCGGAGGCCGAGCTTCGGACGCTGCCAGGCGGCTCCGCGGGCGTCCGAGCCCCAGCGAGGTCGTCTCGTTGTCACTCGCAGCGGCTCTCCACCTGCACTGAGCTCCGGCTCGTGTTGTTGTATGTGAATAGTAGCACCGATAAAGGCGTGCCGGATGCCTGCGCCACAGATCAGCGCTCATCTCGTGTTATTCGATGCCAATGAAAGCAGCGCGTAACCATTTGAGCTATGCGTGACTGACTCCCAAAGAACGCCGTCGGTGCGCTTGGAAGTTGATATTATGCTGCGGCTGCCGTGCGGAAGCTCGACGTGTCAGTGGGAGGCCCTGGGGAGGCCCCGCGGGGATCGCGCAACATATCTTGGCAGCGGTGGGGGACATTGAACGGGCCTTCGGCGACCAACACTGGCGCCGGGGATCGGTGACCAGCCATGACTGCGGATGTGGTGACCTCTGCTGGTTGCCAGGGGCCGCGGGTGGAGCCGGGCGGTGCGCCAGCCGGGCGACGCCCCGCGCCGTGTTCCGAGGCTCGGCCTGGCGCCTCCCATCCCACGACCGACGACCGCAGCGGAGCGGGTCGGAGCGGTCCATTGTCCGCGGCCGGTGCATCAGATCCGGCCGCGGGGCCGGAGGAACCGCCACCGCCGCCGCCGCCGCCGCCTTCGGCTGATGTTTGGCAGCGGCTGGTCCGGTAGGGACGGCCGGCGCCGGCGCTGAGTGACGGCACGGCTGACTCGGACCGGTGCGGCCGCCGCCGCCGCCGCCGCCGCCGCCGCCCTGGCGCTCGAGCGCCGCCGGGACGGACCGGGGCGGGGCCGACCCCAGGTCGCGGCCTGGCGGGGGACCGGGGCCGAGCGGCGGCCCGCAGACGGCCCCGGCAACCGGCCGCGAGACTATCTTTGCCAGTTGTTGTGAGCAGTTGGACGAGACGAATGGCAGCAGTGGCGTTATTGCTCGCAGTGACGTTGATTAAATAATATGGAAACGGCTGTTCCTAGCAGGTAATGAGGTGTGTGGGACTTGTAGCGTCTAAGCGTCAGGCTAACGTGCAGGGAGGCAATGGTCGCTGTGCGGACGTGTGCGTGTTGGAGAGGCACGGTTACTATCCGCCCCGGCGAGGAGACGTCCGCTGGTGCTAGATGTTGACGCTGGGCCTCCTGCTACCGCAACCGTCGCCCACTACGGTTTTGGCATGCAACTGCTCTGTTTTTTACAGATGCTGAGTATATCCGCCTTCCTGTGTAATATCTTATGTGATATTCGTTATGACGTGATCCTAGACGCTACGCTGTCCGTTGCTCGCTGACCGCCGACGCTGCCCGCCCGCGTGTATTGCCCGCCGCCGACCCGTGATCCGTCCGTCTCCGCTCAGCGCTCGCTGTCTGGCGTCCGTGCCAGGCTGTCTGAAACGCCGCCATCGGCAGTCTTGGTGCCCGCTCCCTTGCCCGGTCCTGACTGCCGCTCTCCTGCCCCGTCCTGACGTTCCGCTCGGCCTTCCCCCTCCCTGGACGGCCGACCTCCTGCTCCGTCCTGATGTCCTCTCCCCTGCCCCCGTCCTGACGTCCGCTCGCCTTCCCCTCCCTGACGGCCGACTCCTGCTCCGTCCTGATGTCCTCTCCCCTGCCTCGTCCTGACGTCCGCTCGCCTTCCCCTCCCTGACGGCCGACTCCTGCTCCGTCCTGATGTCCTCTCCCCTGCCTCGTCCTGACGTCCGCTCGCCTTCCCCTCCCTGACGGCCGACTCCTGCTCCGTCCTGATGTCCTCTCCCCTGCCTCGTCCTGACGGCCGTTTACCTGTCCGGCGCCGACGCCCCCACTCCGCTGCCTTGTGCTGACGCCCCCGCTCGCCTGCCGCATGTTGACGCCCGCCTCGCCCCGGCAGGCAAGGACCACGTGTGTCGCTTCATCGGCTGCGGCCGCAACGACCGCTTCAACTACGTGGTGATGCAGCTGCAGGGGCGCAACCTGGCCGAGCTGCGGCGGGCGCAGCCGCGCGGCGCGTCGGAGTGGGGGCCGACGCCCCCCACTCCGCTGCCTTGTGCTGACGCCCCCGCTCGCCTGCCGCATGTTGACGCCCCGCCTCGCCCCGGCAGGCAAGGACCACGTGTGTCGCTTCATCGGCTGCGGCCGCAACGACCGCTTCAACTACGTGGTGATGCAGCTGCAGGGGCGCAACCTGCCGAGCTGCGGCGGGCGCAGCCGCGCGGCGCGTTCTCGCTCTCCACTACCCTGCGGCTGGGCCACCAGATCCTGCACTCCATCCAGGCTATCCACGAGGCGGGCTTCCTGCACCGCGACGTTAAGCCGGTGAGGCGGCCGTGGCGGGCCGGGCGGGGACGGCTGGTTGGGGTTGGGCTTTGGCCAAGAAGCTGGGCGGTGTGAGCTGGGGAAAACTGAGCTTCAGTGTTCTAATTTTCGGCGCATGGTGAACCGGTAGCAACAGTGCTTTGTTTGGTGTAGGGATTGTCTCTGCGTGACATGAAGCTACTGCTACTGGCGTGGGTGTGGGGATGACGCCCTGGAGTATGCTTGAAAGCAAGTGTTACTCCAGGGTACACGGTTCTCGTTACAAGGTGGCCATGTCAAACGCCACAGACGCTGCAAAGCCATCACGTCAGACATGGGCAGACATCGTGCTGACTTCATGTCCGCGCGACACGTCGACGGCTCTCGCCGCGCGCGGTCCCTGCTTCATCGCCCGCCGTCGCCGAGTCTCGCGCCACCCCGTGCGCGTCTGCCACGCCGTGTTGGCCGCGCCCTGCCCCCGGCAGCGGCGGCACTGACGGCCACCGCCCCTCCCGTTCCAGTCCAACTTCTCGACAGGCCGGCACCCGCACAACTGCAAGAAGGTCTACATGCTGGACTTCGGGCTGGCGCGCCAGTACACGAACGCGTACGGCGAGGTGCGCACGCCGCGCGCCGCCGCCGGCTTCCGCGGCACGGTCCGGTACGCGGCCATCAACGCGCATAAGAACAAGGTACGCCCGGCGTCGGCGGGCGCGGCCGAGAGTGGCGAGGACCGGCCGGAGTGTGGCGAGGACGCCGCTCGACCGCGGGGCCTGGGCGTCGTGGGGACTGACGCGTGTGAACCGAGTGACAGTGAGGTGTCGTGTCAAGCTATTTTGTTAGAAGTGAGTGATTGGTGCGGTTGTTTTGCGGGCGGTTTAGGCTTTCGGTGCCTTCATGCTCTGGATCTTGTGGTGTGCTCCCTGAGCCCACTGTCCAAGAAATGCGTTCAGCTGATCATTTTGCCCCCGGTCTTCTGGCTAAACAGACATTGGAAGGCTCGGCTCTCGTGCCGTGCAAGGCTGCCACGCGGCCTTCGCCTACCCGGCTACATCAGGATTTTAGTCTGATCAGCAAAAATAACGAGCGAGAATAGCAAACCGTGTTGGTTAGAGGTGACAAGGTCCTTTGTCTCTGCCGCTGCCCATGTGCAGACTGTTCGCCTGAAATAGTCTCCCTCTCCGGAGGGACCGGAGCGCTGTTTCGCGTCGTCACTGACTGATGGGTGCAGCGAAGCGGTTCGCCTTCCTCTTGGCCCGCGCCACTCTCCTGTATTTGCTTTATTTCTTTATGGCAAAGTGGGCCGAGTGAAGGTTGCATGCATCTAACGCGACTGCGTCTCGGTTTCCTCTCCCGGCCGGATTTCGTTGACCCCGGTAACGGCGTTTGGCGAGTGGGCCCTGTTGACTTCTGCCGCGGGCTGCCTCTGCCGTATGCAAAACATCATAAGGCTAATGCGGCTCACGCTCCAACTCGGAGCTGCTGCGCCACCGCCAAAGGTCCCAAAGCCGTCTCAGCCAGGATGAATGGTCCTGCTCGTGGTCTTGCCGATCACTGGCAGTCAAACCAGGCGGAGAACAGTCGTACGGCGCACGTCTCGACGGCTGGAGGATCTCTGCGGCTTTGCGCGCTGCGCCGTTGGCCGACCGGGCGGCGGCGGAGACGGACGGTGCCGTTTGGCCGGCCGCCGCCAGCGCTGGACGGCCGCCGTTTGGCCGCGGCGGCCGGCTGGCGGGGCCGCGCGGGACCGCGGCGCGGCCGCCTGTTTTGACTGTACCTGTTTGCGGCCGTTTTTCCCCCCCGTTGAGGCCCATTCATCAGCGTGGTCTCGACGCGGGGATGCTCTATCAGTCGGTGTGTTTACCCGAATTCGCCGAACTCGTTCCGACAGTGCCAGCCGTGTTGGCTGCGGCGGGCGGCGGCCGCCAGACGGCCCGGCCGGCGCCGCCTGGCTCCGCTCGGCTGGCGGCGTCAGATGCGCGTGCCAAGTGGGCTCCCACTGATCTCGTAGATTAGTTTGTATACGTGTCCCTGAGGATTATTTACCCTCGCTTGCGTGGAATCGTTCAAGCTGCTCGCTACTTCCGCACAAGCCGGAACCGAGCTCTCGCTAGGGGACTTATGGGCTAGGTGATACCTGTGCCATCCACACAGAGTAGGTGACGGGTGGGCTTGGGTGCAGACTTTGGGAAGTTACGGGTATGGGTACGGTTACGGCTGAGATGTTTGCGAAATACCGGGTAGATCGGTTAAGATATATTGAGCAATGTTACTGCTTGTGTTTTCTCCTGGTCTGATCAAGCTTCATTCACGCCAATTTTGTTATTATCAGTTCAGAGAATGAGGTTGAAGGTAAAATGCCCTGAAACTTTTCAATAATTTAGAACTTAAATGCTGGGAAGCGGCAAATGGGTGGGTGAGCGGTGATTGCAACTGATCAGGAATGGGTAGAGGATGGCTATGACCACGGCGCCATGAGGTAGCGCAGGGATTGTGTAGAGCAATTCTCACCTATGAATGCCTCTGGCCCTCACAGCTCAACGCTCGTTTTGCAGTCGTGTCGTTCTGCACTGCCCGGATCCCCTGCTAGTGGAGCGTCGCTCATATCCTGGCATGATGCCTTTCCCGCCTATTCTGCCTTGGCGCTCCGTCAGTGTGCACACTCCCAGTGTGTTTCGGAGCCGCTCAGCACCGCCGAACGCTCCGTCCGGTGGTGGGCGCCCGGAGCATGGGCTCGTGTGCTGACACGTCACCCCCGCCTGGTCGGCGACCGATGGGGCGCCTCTGACGGCCGCCTCGCCCCGCAGGAGATGGGACGCCAGGACGACCTGTGGTCGCTCTTCTACATGATGGTTGAGTTCGTCAACGGCTCGCTGCCCTGGCGCAAGATCAAGGACAAGGAGCAGGTGCGCCACAGGCCGAGGCCGGCCGGCGACAGCAGGGACGGGCCCCGCCGTCGCCGCCCCTCGCTCCCAGCCGCGTCGCTGGCAGCGGCCTGACGGCGCTGAAAGGCGCTGAAAGGCTGCGCCACGCCTGCCGCGCCGCTTGACGGCTGGCCGGTCCCGGCGCCATGGTAGGAGTTCCGCGGCCGGGCGGCGGGCTGGGGAGGGCGCCGGCGTGAGTCGCCGTGTGGTGGACCGCGCCGACAGGCGAGCAAGGGGGAGGGAGCGTTGTCGGCGCCAGTGGCGTCCCTCCGCCTGTCGAGTTGGACTCCACCTCTGCCTCCGCTGTGAGACCTCGGCGGCAGACGCCTCGCCGCCGCGCGTGACGTCACGTCTGACGTCACGCGACGTCACCGGCAGCGGCGGCCCGGCCGTCTGCCAGCGGGCCGATTTAGCGCGCGCGGTGTGCGCTCGCGTGCGGGAGGGCTGAGTTGTGGGCGCCCGGCGTCGGCCGAGCGGGCCGTTTGGCGTCGGGCCTGCCGCCTTGCTTCTGGGTAACGCACAGTTGGTGTGGCTGTTGGCCGAGGATGGCGCAGTGGTCGTCACCCCGGCTGTGCCCTGGCCGCCGCCGCGCTGACGCCGCTCCGGCCGCAGGTGGGCATCATGAAGGAGGAGTACAACCACTACCAGCTGCTGAAGCACCTGCCGTCCGATTTCCGCCAGTTCCTGGAGCACATTCAGTCGCTCGACTACTATGACAAGCCCGACTACGCTATGCTGTCGGGCCTGTTTGAGCGCTGTATGAAGCGGCGGGGGGTCAAGGTCAGTTGGTCGGTCACTTCGCCACGCCACAGCTTTTTGTTGGGTTTTGCTATGATAGTACATCAATGAGAGGTTTTTGCTGCACTTTTGATGGTTAAAGAGCGTTGTTGATAAGCATACCGCTATGAAGAGGATTTACTTACTCATCATTTGCTTTTTCGCCTTAATTGTGGTCCGTTTTGGAGCGCATGCACACGATCCTCTTGCCGTGCTGTCGTGTCCGACGGTGGCGCGCCGTGCCCACAGGAGAGCGACGCGTTCGACTGGGAGAAGGCGGCGGCGGAGACCGCACCGGCCGGCGGCCCGGCCTCGACGCCGGCTATCATCAGCAAGCCGGCCGCCTCGTACCAGACGGACCTGGGCAGCGCCGCTTGCGACAACCAGGAGAACTACCGGCCGCCGACAGCCACCTCGGCACAGCAGCCGCGGCTCGCTACTGACACACGGGAGAAGGTGACGCCGACACTGGCACTGACACCGACACCGACACCGACACTGACACTGATACCGGCACCGACACTGGCACTAACACCGGCACCGACACCGATTCCAGCCGGCGGTCGCTGCCTGTTGCTGACACCTGGAAGAAGTGTCGCGCTAACGCCAAAACCGACACAGGCACACGCGAGAAAGTTCAGCGACTGAGGTATATACCGACACGCTGGGGAAGACGTGCCGACACCGCTTTCGGCCCTCATCCGCGGCTGGTCACCAACTACCAAGGAGGACACGTTGACACCGACGGGCACGAACACAGCGTCTTAGACTACTCAGGAAGTGACCGGCCAACTCCAGATCACTACCTCGTCGATTTTCGCACTTGAAGCGAACTTGACGCCCTGAGGCCTGCCCCGCGCCGCGTTGGGTGACCCGCCGCACACCCGCTCTCGCCACGCGGCTCGCCGCCGCGCGCAGCACACGACTCGTCTCATGCCGGCGGCTTGACCCCGCTCCACCGGCAGGTGCTGGTGGACAACAACCGCAACGCCACCAAGGTGGGCGCCGGCGACGACCCGTCGCCGAAGAAAGCGCGTCCGGACCAGGAGGGCAACCCGCCGCGGCGGCCGGTGGCCAAGCTGCGGCTGAGCGCTCTGGAGGCGGCCGACGGCACGCAGGAGGTGCAGGCCGGCGTCGCCGCGGGTCACCGACGGACAGGTCAGCCGGCCGCGGCGGCTGGAGGGTCATGCAGGGCCGCCACCGACGGAAGGATTACCGACGGACGGGTCAGACGGCCGCGGCGGGTGGAGGGTCGTGCAGGGACGGTTCACCGACGGAAGGGTTACCGACGGCCGGGTCAGACGGCCGCGGCGGGTGGAGGCTCGGGAGGGGACGGGTCACCGACGGACGGGTCAGACGGCCGCGGCGGGTGGAGGCTCGGGAGGGGACGGGTCACCGACGGACGGGTCAGACGGCCGCGGCGGGTGGAGGCTCGGGAGGGGACGGGTCACCGACGGACGGGTCAGACGGCCGCGGCGGTGGAGGCTCGGGAGGGGACGGGTCACCGACGGACGGGTCAGACGGCCGCGGCGGGTGGAGGGTCGTGCAGGGCCGGTGACCGACGGACGGGTCAGCCGGCCGCGGCGGCTGGAGGCTCGTGAAGGGACGAGCCACCGACGGAAGGGTTACCGACGGACGGGTCAGACGGCCGCGGCGGGTGGAGGCTCGGGAGGGGACGGGTCACCGACGGACGGGTCAGACGGCCGCGGCGGGTGGAGGCTCGGGAGGGGACGGGTCACCGACGGACGGGTCAGACGGCCGCGGCGGGTGGAGGCTCGGGAGGGGACGGGTCACCGACGGACGGGTCAGACGGCCGCGGCGGGTGGAGGCTCGGGAGGGGACGGGTCACCGACGGACGGATCAGACGGCCGCGGCGGCTGGAGGCTCGGGAGGGGACGGGTCACCGACGGACGGGTCAGACGGCCGCGGGCGGGTGGAGGCTCGTGCAGGGACGGGTCACCGACGGACGGGTCAGACGGCCGCGGCGGGTGGAGGCTCGGGAGGGGACGGGTCACCGACGGACGGGTCAGACGGCCGCGGCGGCTGGAGGCTCGTGAAGGGGCGGGTCACGGCCAGCGGACGGACAGGTGGATGTTCGTGCCGCGGCTGTGCCTAAGGCGTACTTTTGCTTGTCGTCGTACATCCGGTCTGTTCGGGAGGGGATTGATGTGGTGCTCTTTTAATGTGTGTTGGCCGTGCGTATGTCGGTCGTCGCGATCAAAGGGATTACAAGGGTAGAAGGGTCATGACGGAACGGAGCGGAAGGTGCAACGTACGTAAACGTCGCTGGATAGGAGTCACAAACAGATAAGTCAGAGGAGCCCATGACTGTGTAAGAAACATTGACAACCAGTACAGGTCACATCTCCGCGAACGTCGTCAGTCGCTCCTCAGCATACTGGCCCGTACACGACTGCCTCGCCATCCAGACGCCCTTCCCCCGCCGTCCCCCCTCCCCCCCCCCCCCTCATGTGCCAACGGGGTATCCCTCGGCCTGGCCCTGCTGACCGTGTCGGCGTCGTCAGGAGGTGAGCGGCCGCAGCACGGAGGCGCGCACCGGCCGCCTGGACGTGTCGGTGCCGTCGACGCCGCAGCAGAGCGGCCCGGCCGGCTCCGAGGCGCCGCTCACTGGCACCGAGCGCGAGACGGGCCGCCGGGAGCGGCGCGACCACCGGCGCCGCTTCCACTCGGCCGGCAGCCGGAACCGGTCAGTCTCACGGTCGGTACAACTCGCGCGCTCGCGCTCGTTGGCTTGCGTTTGCCGTGCGCTGGGCCCGTCGGTGCCGCGTGCCCGACTGCCGGCCCGCCTGCTCGCCTGTCTGTCTGTGTCTACCTGCCTGCTCGCCTCTGTCTGTATGTCTGTGGCCCGCGCGTCTGTCTGGCCGACTGTCTGCTCCCCGTCCGGCGGTGTGTTGAGGACTCCGCGAGCCGGCGCGCCTGGCCGCAGCGCTGCACTCGTTCGATCAGTGACGCCTCGGGCGCGGCCCGCCGCCGGCGCCGGCGTGGGAGCGGCGCAGCTGGCGCGCGGTGCATGCCGTCAGCCCCGGTCACCTCGCGCGCTGTGCTGGCCGCGTCTCGGTGGCCCGCTGGGTGGATCCCGGTAGACGGCGCGCGTTCTCTGATGGATCCCCGCAGCGGGCTCGGTCGTCCTGCGGTTTTGTAGCCGGCAGGTTTTACACAGAAAATCACGCCTTCTGGTTTGGTGCGACGTATATTGGCTTGTAAAGGCTTGTGCGGCGTAACTTCGCTTGTCTTTTGCTGTTCTGAGCTCGGTCACCGCTGTGTTGACCAGCGGAGGCGCGTTTTCCTCTGCTTGTGTTTGAGTGATCTGACGTGAACTTTTTGTAGCATAGATAGCATCCTGAGTTTGCGGACGACAGGCAGTCTAAGGAACGCCAGTACCTTGCCCGGTCGCTGTTGTACGCGGAACGGCGTAAGCTGCGGCCAGAATGACCGATCAGCAACAGTGCCTGCGCTGTAACGCTGCACATGAGCGCTGTAGATAACTCTGCATGTTCTGATTGGTATGTTTGATGAGCATGTTTACTGAATATCGTGCTCTCCAAACTTCCAGTTACGTGCTTTAGTTATGGACGGACAGGGCACTGTTGTATTAGACCGGATGTCTGGCTGGGGTGAATTCGGCGGAGTTCCTCATAATGGCGGCCGAAGGCGTTACCTTAGTGTGTGGCATGATGTACGGGAATGGCCTTCGCCGTTGGAGAATACCAAGTAAAACGCTCATTTTGGTTAGCGTTATAACACATTTGATGTAGGGTATGGATCCTTTGAATATTGTTGTGTTGCGATGCCGTCCCACTGTATCTATAGCGCCTATATTGCGTGTGACTGGCCGGTGACGGCGTCGCCAGGTTTCAGAGCAGCCTAGTGTCCCGTCAGTGCCCCCGCCTGTCCCGTCCCTGCGCTGCCCAGTGTCTCGCCAGCGTCCCCCGTCCGCGCCGTCCCTGCGCTGCCCAGTGTCTCGTCAGCGTCCCCCCGTCCGCGCCGTCCCTGCGCTGCCCAGTGTCCCGTCAGCGTCCCCCCACCTCGCCCCGTCTCTTGCGCTGTGCAGTGTCCCGTCAGCCCCCTCCCCTCCCCTCCCCTCCCCTCCCCCGTCCGCCCGCCCGCCCGCCCGCCCCGTCCCTGCACTGCCCAGTGTCTCGTTAGCGTCCCCCCGCCTCGCCCCGTCTCCCGCGCTGTCCGGCGCCGCCTGAGTGCCGTCTGTGCCGTCGCTGACAGGCTCAGCCTGCACCGGGACGTGAGCGTGACGCAGTTCGCCGTGGCCGACGACGACAACGTGTCCCAGCAGGCCACCAAGGGCGGCGGAGGTCAGTCGAGCGGGGGCGACGGCTGGGCTCGCGGTAGCAGGCGGAACGGGCGACGCCTGCCATGGCACGCCGGCCGGTGGGGTTGTAGTGCGAATTTGTGATAAGACTTGATATTACAAAGAATTGCTTAACTGCCGGTTTACGGCGTTTTGAGTTGAAAGTTTTATGTTGAGTTAGTGACCTGCAATATGCTCGGAGATGCTGGTCATAGTATGTTGTATTGCGAAATAACGATTGCGTTGCCGGTACTGGGGCCGGGTTCCGCTGACCCCGGCCCTCCTCTGTGTCGCAGGCATGACGCTGGCCTCCCAGTGGAAGTCGGGCTTCGATGACTCGGAGGCCGAGACGGACCACGAGGCCGCCGAGCAGGGACTGCAGAGTCCCGAGCACAGGAAACAGGTCCGCACGCGCTCCCCGCCGCCTTCCCCGCAGATGGCGAGGGCCGTTAGCCTCTGCACCGATGGCGCGTCGGCGGAGACTGGGCTCTTGGTGGGGTGCTCGCCTCCACGTTAACGGTTCATGGGTGGGTGTATGTAACGGTGTATCGCAATGTTCGATATTATTTTATTGGAAGCCGTGTGCGCTGGAACTCCGCAGCAAACTAGGCAGGGACTGATGGAATGCAGCATAAACGTTGCATGGACGAAATGACGCGCCTTTTCCACTCGGGGGTGTGACGTTACCCGCGTGGGCCAGGGGCGACGCCAGCCGACGTATGATCTGGCCCGCGTGACCCCGTGACCTGGCCTGACCGGAGCGCGACCTGTGCTCGGCAGGCTGCAGAGGCGGCGTCAGGTGCCGGCCGGGCGGCGCGCTCGGCTGCCGGCGGCCCGCCACCGCCGCCCAACACGTTCTTCGTTCCGCTGCTGCTCATCAAGTCGCGGCTCCGTTGCCAGGTAGCGTGAGGGGCCGGCCGGCGCCCCGCCTGGGCGACGTCGGCCGGGCAGCTGGTGCCCCGCTCTGTTGTCCATACTGTCTCAGAAAGGTGCTTGTGAGAGAAGCCGCTTCGGTTTCGGTGCAGAGTCCAAGTGATCTGCTCTTTGAAAGTTTGGGTCGCGCCGTCCGTTTCCTTGTCAGTGTCATGCTTTGAAGCGCGTTGTTTACAATGTTTTGCTTATTTGGCCAGATGAGTGGTCTGGATGGGCTTGAGTCTATTCGTGTATGTGCCATGGCCAAGAACGAGTGACTCGGAGGTATAATTTATCGGTAGCTGGGCTGTCCGGTACTGCTAAAAGCGGACAGCGGGCGCTGAATGCTTAAGACGCATACTGATGTCGAGTGAACGGCGCAGCTCACCAGCGCCGTGCGAGGACTAGCAGCGAGAGTCCAGCGCGCGCTCCAGCTCAGCGTGAGGTCTGTGCGCACCGTGCGTGACGCTGGCGCCGCTCCGCCCCAGGTGGGCGCCGCGCAGGCGTTGCCGCTCGAGTACCTCAACCTGGAGATCGCCGCCGTGCCCGTGGACAGGAGCCGCGGCGAGGGCCTGCCGCGGTCGTGGTCCAACCCCCAGCTGTCGCCACACATACGGTCAGTGGCGGCGGCCGGGTCGGGACCGCGGCGGCGGCGCAGGGCCGTCCACGACGAGCGCCTGTCAGACGTTGGGAGGGCGGCGGCGGCGGCGCATGCCGGCTCGGCACGGGGCTGGTCGTGGCGGTTTGGGGTCGTGTGTCGCGTTCAGCTCCTGAGATTGAGACGCGCTTATGAGCTTCTGCCGCCGGCCAGTCGGTGGCGCTGGCTGTCGGCTTTGCGCCTGTCGATGTGCGGGCCGCCTCTCCCGGAGTCCCCTCGGTCCGCCGGTGATGTCACGTGCCGTGACGTCACCTGGAAGCGGCGCCGGCCTCGCCGAGGGCCGGCCTGGACACGCCCATGACCCGGCTGCCGCGGTCCGTGACGCCGGCCGCCTCCCGCAGGCCGGCCTGGAGCCGCCGCTGCTGCAGCAGGCCACCTTCGATGACGTCGTTTACGAGGTGGACGTGGTGCGGAACGTGGCGGCGGTGGTACCGCCGGCCGCGGTCGCGCCGACTCCGGCGCCGGCGCCGCTGCCGCCGGCGCCGGGCTCGCACCGCGCCCCGGCGCCGCCCAAGACTCCACCGCCGGTCAACAGGTGGGGCTCCGGGGCGGTCGCGGGGTCGTCGTCCGTCCCTGACTGACCGACGGCGACGGAGAGTCGCTGGCGATGGTGGGAGGGAGTCGTTTGGCGAAGTAGTGTGTGCCTGGCAGACTAGGTGTCACCCAAATACTTCCATCTTTCGAGGATGGCTGTTGATGGCTCGCTGTCGCTGCGTGGGCTCGGGTAGAATCATCGCCACTCGCTCCTGTATTGTCACGTTTGGCCGGCTGCGGACGTCACCGCTACGCACGCACGTCCGCTGACTCGGCCGCCGTCGCCGCCGCCGCCAGGACCGTGTCCATGGAGTCGGACGTCAGTCCGCAGCACATGCTGCCCGTCTCGGGCAAGCTGGAGATCCGCGTGTTCGACAAGTCCGAGTCGCGGCGCTCGGATTCGGCGCCGCCGCCGCCGCCGGCCGTGCCCGCCATCGCGGTGGTGACGCCCGCCGCCGCCGCCGCCCCCGCCGCGGTCGCCGCCGCCGCCGCCGCCGCCGGCGCCCAAAGCAATCAGGTGAGTCGGCCGCCGTCAGCGGTTTTGTAGCCGCCGGCTGGACTTTCGTAATTGGTTTAGCCGTGTCTGACAGTAATCTAATGGAGTGCTCGGAGTTTGCGAGGCAGTCTGGCGGAGAAATTCTGCGAACTCGTTGGTCCTTTGGAGGTGGCTTATGGGCTCGGCTAATCGCCTCTCAGCTGTCAAGTCAGCGGCCACCGTTGCGTGTAGCGCGCTGCAGAGTTTGAGGTTGTCGGGTGTTGAGGCCGTGCGGCGTCTAACGGGCGGCTTTGGTCGTCCCCAGACGAACAGCGTCGCCCGTCTGGAGGAGGTGCGCGCGCCGGCGCGCTCCTCCTCGCCGCGCCTGAAGAGCATCCTGAAGAACAAGTCTGAGCGTAACCTGGCCGGCAAACTGGAGCAGGCGGAGCGGGCCGCCTCGGACGGCAATGCAATCCCCAAGAATAAGAGCTCGCCTTGCCTGGCGGAGCAGCTGGGCCGCTACTTCGAGACGCCGGCGGCACCGCCGGCCGACGTGCCGCACATCCAGGTAACGCCGCACAACGAGCCGCCGCCGCCGCCGCCGCCGCGCGCCGCCCAGCGCGCGGTGCGCTCGCCGCCCCCGGCCGCGCGCCGCGCCGCGCCCAGCACAGACACGTCATCCAGCCGCAGCCGCGACTCGCCGGCCAAGGGCGGCGAGTCGGCCGAGCCGCCGGCGCCGGCCGAGCCGCGCGCGCCGCCGCCGCCGCGGCCAGCTGACGAGTCGAGCGCCTTCTACGACGCGGCCGACGAGAGCCGCGCGCGCCTGGCCACCTCGCGCAGCCGCTCGCGCATCGACGAAAACGAGACGTCGCGCAACGAGAGTTTCGGCACGGCGGTGCCGCCCGGCGCGTCCGAGGCCGGCGACGAGCGCGACTACGAGACAGTCGGTTTCTCGTTCGCCACGGCGCGCGAGAGTCCGCGCACGGTGCGCCGCCGCATCGGCGTCGTCACGCCGCCGCCCGAGTTCCAGAACGACCCACATGACTCGCAGTCGACCACCGGCGAGGGCACAGCGCGCGCCGAGTCGCCGGGCCGCGGCCGGCGGCGCAGCGGCGGCGGCGCCGCCGAGCCGCCGCCACCGCCGCTCAGCGGCGCCGCCAAGCGCCACTCGCTGGATAACCTGCTGGACGACCGCAAGATCTCGGTGATCAGCGTGCAGGAGCTGGGCGCCGTGCTGCGCGGCCAGCGCGCGCCGGCCGCGCGCGCCTTCCACAGCGACGACAGCCTGGTGGACGGCGGCGAGCCGGAGCGGCGCCGGCGCGCCCAGCTCAGCGCCGACGTGGACGCCGAGAGCGAGGCGTCAGAGCCGCCGCTCATCACCAGGAGGTGAGCACGGCGGCAGGCGGGCGCCGGCCGGGACGGGGCGAGGTGGGGCCCGCGGGTGTCGCTTGAGAGACGAGTGCGTGGGTGAGCGGTGGCGCGTTGCCGATTGAGCAGACCTACTCAGCAGCCGCGGATGCTGTGGTCACTCTGCGCAAGTGCTCTTGCACTTTCGTTCGTGATTTTTGAGCTGTGTAGTGCGGGACAGGTGTCAGTAACTATGGTTTTGTATGCTTGTTTGCGTCGGAGACGCCTTCCGCATGCACATTTCTCTTACGTTTCGATGCCTTGACACACAGCCACAGCCTTACAGCGGCTCTTCCCTCTTCGGTTAACACGCCCTCAAACAGGCGATATGTGGCAGCAGAGATCCGAACAGGCACCGGACGTGTCTTCGCCTGGGCCCCGCACCGCTGCGCCTGGCCCGTGCCTGCTGGAGATGTCCCTGACCCCGCCCCATCCCCGTCCTCAGGCGTCACTCGGCGCGCGAGCTGCACTCGACCACGCCCACCACGACGAGCACGGCGTCGTCGGCGGCCGAGCCGGCGCCGCGCCCGGCGGCCGGGCGGCGCGGCCGCCTCAGCTCGTCGCCGGAGCCGCTGTCGGCGCCGCGCCGGCCGCAGCCGCAGCCGCAGCCGCCCTCGCTCTACGTGCAGCAGGTGCTGGGCGGCTACAGTCCGCGCCGCGAGCTGCACGCGCCGGCCGGCGCCCAGCGCTCCTCCTACAGCCCGGCGCCGAGCGGCGGTGAGTGGCGCTGGCGGGGCAAGGGGAGGGGGCGCGTGTTGGCTGTCGCCCGCAGCCGGCGTCGCTTCTCGTCCCCGCGCACGTCGTGGTGTTCCTCTATCCGTCACATATATACTTCATCGGCCAGCGGGTTTGTTGCGGAATGGCGAAGGCGGCGTCTGAGGTGGGCTGCCTCGGAGGCGGCTGAGCGCTGCTGACGGGACGCAAGGTAAGTCTGTGTAATGACCCGGTCACCGGCACCGGTCACAGCTCCGACCCTTGTACGATGTGCCGACCCAAGCGGCCTGTGGCGCCACACTGCCGCGCCAGGTCCTGCTCGCTCCGTCGCCCTGGGAGTCGAGCCGCCGCCGGTCCCGTGCTGGGCGTGCGCCTGTGCGCGGAGCTCGTGTGACTTGCCCGCCGGCTGCCGGCAGCCTATTACGACTCGCCCCGGTACGACTCGCACCTGGGCGTCTCCAACTGGGGACTGCAGAAGTCCAGCTCGTCCTCGGCCTGCCACCAGGGTTACCACACCATGCCGTCACGCATCAGGCCACCGGTCACAGGTCAGGGTCGTCACGGCACGCCGTGTGTCCGAGTGCTGGTGACAGGTCGCGGCAGCTGAGTGGTGTGACGGAGCTGGGTGTCGATGACTGCGGTTTGGCTGGAGATGCCCTGGTTTGATTCCCCGCAGGAGACGTTCACTGGCTTGGGCTTCGACCAGCGTTGACAGCGCCAGTAACTTCAGTGGCGTCGTGCGTGTTAAGTATGCAACAGCGGCTGTCATGATTACCATGCAGGCGTATGTGTTTACGAGTGCCCCATGTGGCCTCACGAACGTCCCATGCACCCCCCGACGCCGGCAGACACGGCGTCTCGGTGCAGTGCTGTTTGTTCGGGGCACGCTCACTACTCGCCGGTGGCCGCGCAGACTCGCTCCAGGACCAGTGCCGATAACTCTCATTATAATCTTGTGGCGCGAGTGCCCGTGTGCACTGGTGCCGGCTCCAGCACGTCCCGTAACCATACAGCTTTCGTGCACACATCCCCGTACCATGAACCCACGTCACCTTCCGATGCTCGGGTGCACCCGCACCAGTTCCAGTACCAGTCTCCTGTAGCCCCCCCCCCCCTCCCCTCTCGCACCGACCCCGACACGGGTCCCCCTCGTGACCGGCCGTCGCTCGTGCAGACTCGTACCGGTACCGGTACCAGTCTCTCGTGTAAACCCCCTCGCACCGACCCCGACACGGAACCCTCTCCTGACCGCCCGTCGCTCGTGCAGACTCGTACCGGTACCAGTCGCCGAGTCGGGACGACACGAGCCTAGACGGCTGCACGCCGGCGTTGCGCCGCCGCCGCCAGGGCGCCGACAAGTACGTGGCCGACGACGCCCAGCTGGGCTCGCGCTTCCAACGGCGGCCGCAACCGGCCGCGCGACGCCGTCTCCGTCCAGCCGGCCGTGCCGCCGCGCACCCGCCAGAGGTGAGACCCAACGCTTGGGCAGCGGCGGCGGTGGGAGCGGGGGGGGGGGGGGGGACCTGGACGGGGGTAAGACCCGGCCCGTGGGAGCGGCGGCGGCGGGAGCGGGGAGAACCCGGACGGGGGTGAGACCCAACGCTTGGGCAGCGGCGGCGGCGGGAGCGAGGAGGACCTGGACAGGGGTGAGACCCGGTCCGTGGGAGCGGCGGCGGTGGGGGCGGGAAGGGTCCGGAGGGGGTGAGGCTCGATCGAAGGAAGACCCGAGGATTTAGGGAGATCACGTAGGTAAGGTGCTGTTTCATGGAGGCGGAGGGCATGACTAGGACTGCAGGAGTAGGGAAGGCTTTGTGAACGCAATGAGGGACAGGATATTTGGGAAGGGAAAGACGATCAAGCGAGCGTTCGGTTAGGGCGGCAGTGTAGGGATCTTTAGACGGATAAGGCAGGAATCGGACCTGGTTTAATGAAGATTAGAGGGGCCACGACCGGCCGACTACAGTATTAATTCAATGCGACATGTGTCCTAATGTCCAAACGGGCAAGAAAACCGAGAGCGCCCCAGTCCTGTGTTTATTGTTCTTATCGACGATTTGGTAGAGCAGAGGTTAGGTTGGTGCTGTGAAGCACGCCGGAAAGCTTGCTGTAAGCGGTGTTGGGAAGGATGCAACTCAAAATAGTCGTGTAGGCGCGGGATACCGGGCTAAATTCTGCTCGGATGACCGGGGGGAGGGGGGGCTGGCAAAGATGGCGTCGGCAGGCATGGCAGCTGCCGTTCACCTTCGGCCTGCCTACCGGGGCTTCGAGCGGCCCGGTAAGTTGTGTTTGGCAGCGTGTCGTGTTGACTTAACAAACTAACTCTAACCGTTTTGCGCAACGGCCCTCGGCCTGTTTTCTCCCGCGAGGTGGTCGCGCTCCCTCCATCTGAGTCCCGCACTGGCCGAGCATATGTGCGCCCTTTCACCCTGTAATCCGTCGCCGCCTATAGCCCGCCTCTCACAACTGCGCCTGACATCCTGACGCACGTGTCGTTGTCACGCGTGTCAGCCGGCGTGTCCCTGTCACCCACATCATCCCGGCCTGCGTCTGTCACGCGTTTATTCTGTTGCGTGCTTGTCATCTTTCCAGCGGTGACAGTTTGTCGTACGTTCCCCCCTCCCAAGCGTGTCGCCCTGACACGGGCGACACGCTTGAGTGCCCCGCCCAGCGTGCGCCTGGCCGGGTGTCCCTGCGCCGCACTGACTCGCCTGCATGCGCGCGTGCCACTAACGGGCCGGGGTGGCGGCAGCGGCGGCGGCGGCGCCGGCGGCCGGCCGCGCCCCTCCGACGGGCACAGCTCCGGCGTCAGCACCGAGTCGACGCGCTCGGAGGGCGGCGCGCCGGGCCGGCGGCGCGACGAGGCCAGCAGCGACAGTGAGAGTCTGTCGGCGCGCGAGCCGGCCGTCGTGCCGCACCCGCCGGCCGGACCGCCGCCGGCCGGCGCCGAGATCGCCGCCAGGTGAGGCGTCGCGCCGGCCGGGCAGAGGCTGCCCAGGCGAGCCCGCGGAGAGGGTGCTCTAGCCGGCCTGACGGCTCGTTGCTCCGGCGAGGTGGCAGCGTTCCAGTGCGCCGGCTGCGGTGGTGGCCGTGTTTGACGGCCGGGCGGTGGTGGCCGGAGGTGGGCGGGACGTTTACGGGAGGTGTGGTGAGGTGCTGGCCACCGGGCCAGGGCTCCGGAGTGCGCCGGTGGTGCTCCCAGGCGGGACAGCGACGGGGGAGGGGGTGCCGCCTTGGGCCAGGTTCCACCAAGTCGGCAGATATTAACGTGGCAGTAAGGGGTGGGAACCAGGGGCTTGACCAAGATGTTCTCCATAGCAGGCTCCTGGCGGCCTGAATCGGGCTTTTTCACTATATAAGATGATGTTAGCGTGTGCGCGACATGGCGGGGAAATTGGAGACGCCAGGTCCCGGCGGCTGACATTCGGCGTTCGTTGGCAGTCCAGCCGCACTGACGGTAAGTGGCCCCTCCCCCCCCCCCCCCGTGGCGATCGGCACCTGCGCGCCTCGTGTGACGTGTGGCGGAGGTCCGGCGACAGACCCGGTGGCCTTGTCGGAGCTCCGGCTGTCACGGTCACCGGCGCCGTCGACGTCACGGCGGTGCCGAGCTGCGTGTCACTAACCAACAGCATGCCCTGCATTCGGTCATCGACTTGTGCCAGCGGCAGTGGAAGGGTGTCGCAGGTGACGGCGTGTCCATGGCTGGCCCCGCGTCCTGTCAAGGAAGTTGGGTCTCCAACGTGTACGGCGTAGCGCTACAGTCGTCTCATTCTTGTTCGGTCATATCACTTTCAGTGACTTCGATTTGTTGTGGATTTACCAAACTGCTAGCCCCGCACAGTCTGCCGCAGCGGAGTCTTGTTAATGCGTCGCAGTTGTCGTTGATGCGCCGCTCGCCGCGTGCAGTCTTGAGCGCTTGTTCGGTGTGCCCATGAACGTGTAGAGCCTGCCTTCGCACTATCACTGGGAGGAGCAGGCCTTACTTTACAGACGTCGGCGGTACCGGCCTGCCGCTGTGGACGAGGTCTCGCCGCTGAACCACGTACTGCCGCGCCACTGAGAGAGATACGGGAACTCCGTCTTCCTCCGGCCGATCACAGATGTCGCCACCGCAGCACCCATCGGCCACTCGACGGCTGGCCACCGAACTGAGGAATCGCTACGCCCATGATAGATGTCGTAGTGATGCCGACATCGGCAAGAAACATTGAGTTGACGCGACGCTTTTTTGAGGTGATTTCTTACGATGTGCAGGTGTTGAATCTAGTCCCCGTTCATTAGCGTTAGTCCTGCGTCTCACCTCCAGATATCTGGCGGATAGATGCATAGACACCGTTACCCAGCTGTAGCTCGAGGGCTGCTGGTGCACTGGGTTACGGCTACCTCCGATCGTCCCATTTACCAGCAGTTTCTGGGAACGTTATATATTAATGTTGATGTACCACCCGAATGCTCTATATAAACAATCCGCGTGCGTCCGTCTTATATATACCTGCATTGAAAGGCAACGCATCTATTTATTGTGACGCTCACCGGACGACCGGCGGGCAAATCATGTGATCGAGCCGTTGACGAATGCCTACTTACGAGTGAGACTGGCGTCCTGTCACTGTGTTTTGATTTGCTTGTGAGGCCCGCGGCCCGCGTTGCTGACCGAGCCTGGCCGCGGGCACCGGATCTCTGGCGGCGCGCGCGCGCGCGCGCGCGAACGAAGCTAGTCCCTGATGTAGTCAGAGGGGTGGACGCGGGCTCGCGTTGTTGGCGCGGCCGGCGGCGGCCGGTGCCCCTCCGGCCGCCGCATTCATACTCATTAGGTTGTCTTTCAAATCGGCGCAGGCAGCGCGCGCGCGCGGCCACGTCGCGGCCCGCGGACGCGGCGCCGGCGCGCGTGCCGCTCCCTGCGCCCCTTCCGTTGGGTGGAGAGGCGACGCGCAAACCCCGGTGGTCCCGGCCGCGCGCGGTATGGCCGGCTTGTGATTGGCGCCGACGCCGCCACGCGCGCCCACTCTTGTTTCTGTCGTTTGATGAGACAATACAGCTGCTTTGCTACGAGTGTGGTGTGTTGGGCGTCGCGACCTGCTCAGCCGCAGCTGGCAGCGACCGAGGCGCAGCTGGCAGTGGCAGGGGCCGAGGCGCAGATAACGGCGGCCTTGGGGACGGTGGTCATGACGCTCCGTCGGAACTCAGAACGTTGCGGCGGCGGTGGGCGCGTGATATAGGTAGGTTCCAGTTGCTGCCGGCGTGGTGAGGTACCATGCGTGCTCTGGTGCGGCCACGTACTGTGGGGTAATGAAGCAATAGTTCGCCGCGGATGAGAAGCTGTCGGGAAAATCGTTAAAGCACAAGTTTTTTCAGACTTCTCGCTTTCTGCTACTCACGCAAGATAAGGTGCACCCGCAATTCATCACGCGCTGGATGCCCATGCATTTCAGCGACTGCTTTGGGCTGTGGAGAGCTATGCCCTCCGCTTGGGCGTCAGTATCAAGTAAAGTGGTGTGTAGCAGTTGTAAATTGATGTTGGGTGTGAGCTGATGCGCTCGTGGATCCGCCGCGAGCTGGTCAGTTACGTCAGTTACCTAACTGGTCAGTTACGGCATTGGGCGCAGCGCACTGAACAGCCATTGTTAGGCTCCTGCGCCATATGGAGACGAGATAGAATCATTCATCTAGGGCGTGGGAACCGGGGCAGCTGCCCTCCTTCCCAGGTTGGACGAAGTTAAGGAGCCTAGTTTTCAACGCCATTGTCATTGTAAGCAGGGGCTCCGTCGCGGGAGGCACAAATACGACGTCAGGAATGCAGGGGAGGGTTACGCGCATTCAGCTCTTTCGGCGTGAAACGTTGTGCCTGCGGCGCTGTATAAAAACGCTTTGATGCCTCCTAGCTATTTGGCAATGGCAACTGACCCAGCACCCCTTTTGCGCTGCGGCACAGACCAGTTTTGTGACGTTGCGGAATGATAGCGCTACGCTACATCGGTTTTGTTTTTTCTCAAGTGGTTGTCCTCCAACAGCAAAAACATTGTTTTTCAAAAATGTGTTATTTTGCAAACGCTGCGACATATAAGACAGTAAGTCCTACCTGTGTACATTAGAGTACCAAGCTGCGTTTTTGTTTGCTCTATGCGGTGGCAGGAATCCTTGATATGGAAATAATCATTGTAGACGAAACTAGCGCGCCAATGGGTTCAATGTTTTGCCAGCTGATCGGCCGCGTTGCCTGATGGCGGGGGCATTGTTTTGTGATGGGGTCCTGGGCGGGGTGTTGAACCCCCGTTGGCTTTGTTGAGGAAGGATATTTCGATGCTGTACTTGGAGAGCCTTTTTGTTATGACCTAAGACTGAACACCGTTGTGTTGGCCTGAATCGCCTAATTGCAGGTAGGCTGGTTGGCTGACATCTGCGCTATGGTGGCGCCAACACAGGTAGTCGAGAAGAATGATGGCGATCCTCGTTCATTGTCATTCTCAGAAACTTGAAAACTTATTTCTTTACTTGTCTTGGGTTTCAATATAAGTGGACAGTGGATGATTGGACAAAGGTCCTGTCATCTCTTAACTAGTCAAGGAATGGCTTTTAACTGTAATGCATCAAACAATGAGCAAAGACAACATTCCTTCTATGAATGTCCATCTAATGGCTCAGGTTTGGTCTTAATTTGAATTTTAGTCTTAAGGTATGTATGGTGTGCTTGTATCCACATGGATTGCCTCTTGGTGTACCTTGGATGGTGGGAAGTGAATTTTCCTACCATTTCATTGATTTACCCTTTCATGATGGGATGTTAAACTTCTATTTTATAATACACCAAATCGCTAGAATCAAGTAATTGGGATTATATCATCCTGCATTCAAAATAGAATAACCATGTGTTATGCAATCCAGTGACCACTATTACTGACAGTCTGTGTGCTGGTTGCTGGCATGATGTTCACTGATTAGCAATTGAAACTTGAGATCCTTAGTTGTGGCATGGCTATAATGCATTACAGGATGCATGCATGTGAGGTACCACCCAAAATTTCCAGGAATTTGACTTGCAAAAAATGTCTTACCTTATATACAAACACTCTTTGTCTGCCTCCATGGGTGTCATGTGGACATACAGTGAAGGAGGTCATTTTTTCATTGCTACATTCATGCCTGGATTTTGTTCTGGCAGGAAGTTTGGCTGTGTTGAGCACCTCATGCAGATCTTTCTGAACCTCCTGATTTGCATGAGCTCTGATCCCAGAAATCCATCCTTTCAGATGATTTGGATTAAATTTAAACAAAGAAATTATGTCATAGTGATGCTCCTCCAGCCAAAATGCATTGATCAAAGACAAAAAAGCTGCAGGGAACAGGGTCAGACCAATGGGGTTGGTGGGACAACAAATTTTTGTTGTTGCAAAAGGTGCCAGGTGTAAGTGATTCATGAGCAGGTGTATTGTGATTATTAAGAAGCTAGTTATTGCATGCAAGTTTTGTGAGCATAGTCACTTCATGTTGTACTTAAGCTATTTTGAATTTAACAGCAAAACTTATGGATGCCTGTGTTACCAAGGGGAAGAATGACTTGGGCAACATCTTGGATGTCAAGGAAGGCCCAGCATGGATTTGACATGGGTGGAAATTGTATACACTTTTTGTTGTTGGTGATTGGGGCAATTTTCACAGCAACAACTTTTTATCTCAGTCATCAGCATTATGCTGTGATAAAAAGCTTGAGTGATGACCACAGAGATTTGACTGAGGTCATCTATGATTTGATGTTTGATTTTTCTCCACACAACAGTTGTTACTTTGGAAGATCCAGGGGCAGGCTGTTTATGCAGTAAGATCCACATTTGAAAAATCACTGAGCCAGCCGAACAAGCCGTTACAAAAGCAAGGTTAGCTAAGCAACAAATGGACTTGGTATGACTACTGCTAGCAGTGATTCACAAAGGATACTACTCACTCTCAGTAGTAGTCCCCTTCCCCCCCCCCCCCCCCCCCCACTGCATGTGATTCATTCTTGTTACCCAAGTTTCCACTGCCTTCGGGTAGCAGCATGCATATTAAATGACCAGCTATCTGACAAATATAGTTGTGTTACTGTCCTATATGGTGGATAATATGAAACTCTTTTGAGTTGCCTCTGCTGGGCATGTGGTGTGGATCCTGCCCCATTTTTGGATGAATGTTTTTTTTTATTTGCAGATAGATGATGGAGTGCAGTGCTGTGAAATCTGGCAGAGCTAATGAAATGCTTATTATGCATGTTCTGCTTCAAAGTGCTTGCCTCCAGTCACAGGTCATTTTGCATGGATGACATTTCTGGGATTGGTATTTTCCTTGATGGCCTTGATCAGAATTATCAATACTGCTCAACCTGTTTTCTTAGTTGTATTTATCAAGCTGGGCTATTTTCCACTCTTGGGGTTGTCCAGGAAGGTGGTGTGGGTAAAGAGGTCTTAATGAGCATTGCATGTAAATATCAAATCATTTCCATCATATGATGCTAAAGACAGCATATTATCCTATGTTCTGCAGCTGGCATGATTATCTTGAATCTCAGATGGAACTTTTCAAAAGCGGTTGGTGGTTTTCCAACAGAAATGTTGTTATTTTGCCTCTTTGCATTGCCATGGGCCCATGCAAAGAGAGCTGTCATTATTAGGGGATTGTCTCCCATCAGCATCCACAGTGGCTTGTGGCTTTTTGGAGATTATCTGCCCATCAAATGTTAATGATAGGGGCATGTCATTTCCACTTTTCTGTATAGATAGTTTTAGGGTGTCTGCCTACTTGTCATCAGTGAAATTAGTTCAAACTTACCAATGCAATGCAGCTGCATGCCTCCAACTCAGACCAGCACATCACACCTTTGAGTCAATTCTGAGTCTGATTCAAGAAGAAGAAGCTAAATGTCAGATTCATTTCCAATGAAAAAGGCCTTCAGCTCCTGGTCTTTGGCATTTTGATTTGTACAGCTGAAAATATTGACTGTTAAATGTTGTTAAACCAGTATCTCCAGGCATATGGAAGGTTGTTCACTCAATATGTAACTTTCAACTCATATTGTCATCATAACAGCCTTTAAAGGACATTTTGTCCCATAACAAGACATTGCATGCATCTGTTTGGTGATCCAATTGGCATGTAAGCTGTCATACTGTCTTATGTCATACATATACATCTTATGTCATACATAAGATGTGTTATTACCCGAATTTCTACCTCAAGTTAACTCACCAGTTGATTTAGTTGGATCAACTTTAACTTTTGACTTATTCCTTGTTTGTCTCAGTCTTATATTCACAGCTGAAGTGGTTAAGTGGTACAAGCAGAAAGCAGCCTGAATGCTTCAAACGCTTTGTGAAAATGTAGCCAACCTGATGTAACCCACACAGTGAACAAGAACTTATTGCATGGCAAGATCACCACACTTTTCTCGTTCCCTCAGTGGTGCAAGCTGTCGTAGATGCTGTGTGCAGGACTCATGTCAGAGCTTCTTCATACTCAGGGCATGGCTGTCCAGCCTCGCTTGGCCAATTTCGATGACATTTGCCTCACTCGGACTAACTGGGCAGCATGCTCTGCCGCTTGGGCGCGCGGTCCAGCTGACCAGGAGGTGAGCCGTGTCCGTCCGTGACCACGGGCGTGCTGTCGAGCTGTCCAGGAGGTGAGCCGTGTCCGTCCGTGACCACGGGCGTGCTGTCGAGCTGTCCAGGAGGTGAGCCGTGTCCGTCCGTGACCACGGGCGTGCTGTCGAGCTGTCCAGGAGGTGAGCCGTGTCCGTCCGTGACCACGGGCGTGCTGTCGAGCTGTCCAGGAGGTGAGCCGTGTCCGTCCGTGACCACGGGCGTGCTGTCGAGCTGTCCAGGAGGTGAGCCGTGTCCGTCCGTGACCACGGGCGTGCTGTCGAGCTGACCAGGAGGTGAGCCGTGTCCGTCCGTGACCACGGGCGTGCTGTCGAGCTGTCCAGGAGGTGAGCCGTGTCCGTCCGTGACCACGGGCGTGCTGTCGAGCTGACCAGGGAGTGAGCCGTGCCCGTTCATAACCACGGGCGGAAGCACACTCGCGCCCTGCGGAAGATGGCGCTCCAAAACTGCCGCAGGGCCAGCTCATAAACTATGAAAGGCTTCTGCCCAGGGGGACAAATGTTACCATTAGCTCGCATCGGGTGGTTTGTTTGTATAGCCGGTGGCGCGCGCGTACACCCCGGGTACGCCACCGGAGCGCGTGGGGCGCTTGTCGCGTGCGGCATGTCAGACTCGGCGGTAGTCTCTGTGGAAGGTGTTAACCGCCGGCTTAACGACCGCGCTGTTCGGCTGCGCTATGAAATGAAATATGAAATGGGCTCACGAGCAAGTTTTCCATTGTTTCGTTGAGTTGTTCTCTTTTTTTGCCAGAACGAGCAGGATGTTATCAACAAAGACATGGGCATTCAGCGCGCAACATCATACATCCAACAAAGCTCGCACATGTGAACTACTACCATGTTCGCTCCGTGTCGCGCCATGGCGTGGGATCACCGGGTGTGGCAATTTGAGCACCACTGTGTGCTACTGGCTTCTGGTTGGGCCCTGTGTTAGGGCCAACACGTTGCAGAAATATCGCAGGATGAAGAAAAATTCGTAACGAGAAGGGAATATGTCAAATGAATCGTGATGACATGCTGAAAAATATCACAAATTAGTCATAAACGGATTAAGATCCCGAAGATTATGATTGTTATATTACGATAAGTCTCCCGAAATAAGATCAAGATGCAATGTTTGAATTTTCTTATAAAGAAAATTACTCGCCAAATGCTTGTAACACGAAAATACGACAGATTGGACGGGACGTGCTCAAAAATGATCTTTCGGTAGGCCTAATCCCTTGAAATAATCCAAACACTTGTATTGTGGGTGCATCGCATCCATGCGACTGCAGAGTGTACGATCGCCTGCTTTATGTCAGCGTGCCACGCTCAGTTTCCCCGCACACCGCACCAACCACACTGAGTCGCCCACGTTCACGTCCTCGACACGCGGACACAGCAGCGGCATGACGTGCCGGACATGCTTCGACTGGCGGATCCGGAGATGTGTACCCGTACCCGCATGCACGGCCCTGAACCCTTCCGTCATGGGCGTGTGAACCGGCCCCGGTGACCCGGTGTCTCTCCGGACCGGAAGCGCGCACTGCCCGGCGGTCTCTGCTGGTGCCGCGCCCCTGAGCTGCCGCGTCGGTCTCTGGGTGGCGCGAAAGTGGTGGCGATGCCTCGTTGGGGGATGCTCTGAGGACTGAACGTGAGATCAGAGCAGATGGTCCCGTCGTATACCGTTCCTCTATCACGTGATCATCGAGTGATCAGAGCCGCCGTATTTAGCCGCGGGAGGAGGGACGGTCTGTGCGAACGATGCAGTGTTCCGACACAGATGGGGACATTCGCCTCTCTACCCACACTCAACGTTTTATCCGAAGTCCTGGCAGCGCCATTCCTTGTTTTATGACGCCTTTGAGTTACGCGCCACCCGGGGTCCCCTACGAGTCTGAGGCAGAGGCAAAGATACGTGTCCTCAAAACGCGGCAAGTAGTTCAGTCGCTGTAATTGTAATGTAATGTAATTTCGTTGCAGGTAATTCATTGTGCGCTGTTAGTGGCGTCGTCTTAGAGCCACCAGGGTCGGCTGGTATCAATGTAGCCGTAAGCTTTCAATGCATTTGATAGTCGGCTACATTTCGTCGTATCTGGAAAGTCTGACATGGCTAGTTCAGTACTGCTGGGCCTGATGTAGTCTCATGTGCCATTTCAGTACCGCTGGTGCTGATGTACCATGCAGGCTGCCCTAGATGTTTTGTAAACTGAAGGTTCGTTCGCAGTTTGAACGGAAGACTCAGACTGAGTGGATGAAGAGAGGAGAACATTTGATAAAAAGTGTCATGTCACGACTGTCGACACCGCATCTGGCCTGAGCCGGCACCGCACTCACGCATCTGGCCTGAGCCTGTTTTCTTTTTACCACAGTTAGCACGGACTTACCTTCTCACTACGTCATAGTTAGAACTCATGCATGGTCGTGTTGGGAACACAGATTCCGTTGTGCGCATCGGTGAATTTTCGCAAACCTTCGGAACTTTATCGTGATTGTTTTTAAGACACCACCCAGGTTTGGGACACTTCCGTCATTGCCTGCTGTTTGTGAGGTTTTGAATGAGGTGGTATGGAGCGTATGCCATTCCGCATCGAGACACGACGGTCGTGGGCGGCGGCAGTGCGTACATGTTCTATTACCAGAGTTGGGATTTTCATCGACTGCGACTCTGGATACACTTCCAGTCACTAAATAGGTCACGTATTCGATCGATGGCTATCATATCCTATTGGTGCATGGCCTGCCGTCTCCGTCTCTGGCGTGTCTTTTGGCCGTTGCCACACACTTAAGCCCCGCACGTGCTCCGCTGGGTCGTGTCAGACGAACGCCGCTGGCTGTTGCAGCGTCGCCGTGGACGGCCCCGCCGCCGCTGCCGGCGGTGACACCATGTCGGTCGTCGTGCCGAGCACGCTGGACCCGCCGGCGCTGTCGACGCTGGCGGCGCGCGCGCTCGTGCGCCACCCGGGCGCGCTGGGCTCGCGCGGCTCCAACTACCCGTGGGACACCAGCTGGCGCCTGTCGCGCTACGTGATGCTGACGGAGGAGGTGGCCGACCTGCTGCTGCGCGAGTGCCGCCGTCTCGGGCCGCCCAACAACTTTGTCTCGCTACTGTACGAGGCGGGCCGGACGCGGCGCGTGCGCCTGCAGACGGTGGACGTGCGCGGCCTGCCGGTGGACGCCGGGCAGATCGTGCGCCTGATGGCCGACCGGCCGCGCGAGCTGCGCTTCGACGCCGTCGTCGAGTTCACGGCCGCGAGTCTGGCGGCGTTCAACGAGCGCTGCGGGCAGCTGCGGCAGCTGGCGATGGTCGGCCGCATGGCGCCCACCACCGTGTTCCTGGACGCCTCGCTGCCGGCGGAGGAGCGCGAGAAGCGGCTGGCACCGGACGCGCCGCCGCTGGTCGCCTGCCCGCGCCTGCGCTCCTTCACGCTGGTCGGCTCGGCGGTGGTGGGCTTTAAGCCGAGCCGCGCCTACCTGGACACGCTGCTGCGCGCCTTCACGCAGCTCACGCACCTCGAGCTGAGCAACGTGTACTCGGAGGTGGACGCGGCGTTCGCGGCGCACATGCCGCGCCTGGTGGCGCTGGTGCTGCACAACGTCTGCCTGACGTCGCCGGAGCGGCTGGCCGGGCTGGCCGAGCTACGCCACCTGGACGTGTCGGTGCCGCCGGCGGTGGGGGGCGAGCGGCGCCCGGCGCCAGCCGACCCGGACCGTCTGCTCGACCATCTGGTGCGCGGCCTGCCGCGGCTCGAGCACCTCGACGTCTCGGGCACGACGCTGGCCGGCTCGGGGGTGCACCGCTGCGCCGCGCTGGCGCCGCCCGCGGCCTGCGACATCGTCGGCCTGGGCAGCCGCGCCACGCGGCCGCTAGCCTTCCTCGGCATCTACGGCTGCAACGCCTCGCACCGGCAGCATCTGCCGGCCCTGCGCATCGGCGGCGACATCGGCGAGGAGCAGCTGCTGAACACGGCGCGCGCGCACCGCCACCACGTGCTCATGATGCCGGACGTGCTGGAGCAGCTGGAGATGCTGCTGCAGATGAACCACGGCGTGCAGCGCTGGCAGGAGATCCTGCACCTGGCGCTGGACGCCATGGACGAGTTCGCCTTCTACAAGGAGGTGCACATCCACTGTGGCGCCATCATCCAGAATGTGACGTCCAGCCGCGCCTGGATGGCCGTGCTGACCGAGGTGGAGCGACAGCGCGTGCTGCGCCAGCTGTTCCGCTCCGTGGCCCTGCACCGCAAGTCGATCCGCGTGCGCCGCTTCATCGCCATCATCCTGATGAACTTCGACGTGCCGCGTGAGATGATGTTCAGCTTCGAGGGCTTCCTCGACACGCTGGGTCACATGCTGAGCGGCGTGCTGAACGAGCGGGACACTTTCGTGGAGCGCGTGCTCATCTTCCTGGTGAACAAGACGTGCTGTGATGTGGACGGCCAGTGCAAGGTGATGGTGGGCGAGCGTGGTCTGGTCAAGATGCTGCTGAAGGCCATCCACGCGCGCTGCCAGGAGCACAACTGCGACGAGGTGATGCGCTTCCTCTGGTCCTGCCTCTGGAACGTGACGGACGAGACGCCGCAGAACTGCGAGCTGTTCCTGAGCAACCGCGGCATGCGCCTGTTCGCGCAGTGTCTGCACGAGTTCAAGACGGACAGCGGCGAGCTGGTGCGCAACATGATGGGCCTGGTGGGCAACATCGCCGAGGTGCCGCACCTGCGCGCGCAGTTCCTCACCAAGGACACAGTCGAGACGTTCCTGCGCCTGCTGAACTACTCCACCGCCGACTTGGAGATCAGCTACCACGCGGCCGGCGTGCTCTCCAACATGCTGTCGGACGGCGTGTCCGCCTGGACGCTGGCCGAGCCGAGCTGCGCCGAGGTGATGTCGCGCCTGGAGCGCGCCATCCGCGCCTGGAACGTGGCTGCCGAGCGTAGCATCAACTACCGCAGCCTGCGTCCGATCATCCGGCTGCTGCGCTGCGACGTGCCCGAGAGCCAGCTGTGGGCGGCCTGGGCGCTGGCCAACCTGACGCAGGCCATGCCCGAGCGCTACGGTCGCATGGTGGAGGACGAGGGTGGCGCGCGGCTGCTGCGCATCGTGGCGCAGTCTGGCGACGACTCGTATCTGGTGCGCCTGGCGCAGCAGTGCCTGGACAACGTGCAGCGGCAGCAGGACGGCGCCGCCAGGCAGCCCATGAGCTGAAGCCGCCGTCGCCACGCGGCCTTCTGTGATATCGGGGCGGGGGCGGGGCGGCGGGCAGCGCCGCGGGACGACGGGGGCGGGGCGGGCGGCCCCAGTACCGCCGATGGGAAACGGGCACGGACCGGGTGCGCGCCGCGCGCCGAGCCGTCGCGCGACGGTTCCGGGGGGAACCGCGTGTGATCGGCCCGCGAATCTGGCGCGAGCTTCCTGCGAGACGGATGTGGGCGGTCAGTAGGTCTTTGGTGTCTCTGTGGACGGTGGATCCTGGCTACTACGTGATATGTGGGACAGGCGGCGCGCGGTGCTCAGAGCTCTGGAGCCCAGCGACTTTGAGGCGGGAGTGTGTGCGTGTATCCCAGGCAGCGGCACGCAGCAGGCAGCTCTTCAGTGTCTATCACGACTGGTGTTTCGCGCACGCGTGAATCTAACTACGCTCTTGTTATGCAGACTGTTGCCCTTATAGATAGGTTGTCTTCACCTAATACACTGTCGCGTGAGTCGGCCGGTCCAGCTTGGTTGGTGTTGGTATTGGGTGAAATATTCCCAGCTGGCTGCTTTTTTACAAGCGAAATCTCCGCATTATGCTGATTCTGACAGTCTTGTTTGAATGCTTAGGGTCTTTTTTACCCCTCGCGTCTCGGGACATAAGTTAAAGAGACGTTTTGAATAGCTGCTGCCGCAATGTCGTGATGCTTTTGGAAGCGAATTCCGTTGCAGCCGCCGATTGCAGGTGCATGCTGCGTCCAGCGGCGAAAAGTCCTTATTTTAAAACGTGCTGTTTACCTTACTGGGCACTTGCATCGAAGGTGGCTGGTCATGCGCGTTTGTAGAGCAAAATCACAGCATCAGTATGGTTTCGACCCCCTCTCCCTATTAAATTGACATGGAAAGGATAAAATTTTCGATTGCGCCATTTTGAAGGATTGATTTCGGATTTAGTAACCACAGTGGGCGGATGCAATAGGCTGCTCATATACGCGAATGGGTACTTACGGCGTATGCCTTGCACTTCCTAAACCAGTTTGATTAATTCAATCTTGTACGTAAATTACATGAACTTGATATCGGTAAGTATGCAAGACATTTTTCAAACCTCGCAGAACCTTTCTTGAGCGTTATCTGCTATAAAATGACAGTAAATAGCAGCTCGCCTCGCACGTCTCGCCGGCTATCCATCCACCCACCAACGCCCGGATCCGACATCTGTGGTGTGGACAAGATGCAGATGTCTGTTAGCAAGTGAAAGTCTGTGAAGAAAGTGAGGTCCATACGTCACCACGTAATCGTCCGCCTCCGGATGATTGCGTGGTGACGTCATTAAACCACTGCCAACATTGTGATGGTTACTTGGATCTCTAAGCCCGGCCATGGAACCTGTGCGTTTCCCGTAACACGTGTGGTGCCCAGTAGGCGGACAGTGACCGAAAGGAACCGAACGTGACAGAACGGAACCACAGAACCAGACGAAACCGGACCTGACTGGGCGGAACTAGATGAAGCGGTATGAAACAAGACGGGACGGGACCAATCCAAATGAAACCAGCGGGGACCGAGCAGGCCCAGACAGATGGGACCGAACGGAAGCGGACGAAATCTAATGGGACCAGATGGACCCGGACGGAATCTGGCAAGACCACACGGGATCAGATGGCACCGTAGGTGTCTGGTCGGAACAGAACTAAGCCGGCGGGAGCGGGTGGAGCTGGAAGGGACATAACCGAGGCGGACATGATCGGACGGCGCCAATCGTGACCGAGGGAAACCGGGTGGAACTGAACGGAACCGCACAGAACCGGAACGGACGGAACGTTATGAGAATACGGGATCGGACGGGATCAAACGATACCAAACGAAACCAGGCAATGCCAGACCGTACGGGACAGGATTTCATGGAATTATGTGAAATCGCAAAGGACCGGACGAAACCGGGCGGAATAGAACTGGATCAGACAGGACCGAACTAAACCGAAAGGGGCCTTACTAAACCGGACAGGGTCGGACGGCGCCAAGCGTAACCGAAAGCGGCCGGGTGGGACAGAACGGAGCCATACGCGACCGGAGGAACTGGACAAGACAGGACCAGACCGGACCGGACCGAACCGGACCGGATCGGACAGGACCGAACCGGACCGGACTGGACCTGACCGGACCGGACCGGACACGACACGACAGGGCAGGACAGGAGCGGATCGGGTGCAATCATCAGGAACGTCATCAGACAGAACAGGACCAGGCGGAACCAGACCAAGCCAGACGTGATCACGTAGGTGCGAATGGGACCAGATGGGACTAGAATGTGCGGTGCCCGATGGAACTGTACGGGACCTGGTGGGATAAGATGGAACCCGACGAGACCTGGGGCCGAGTGGGGCTGGATGAAGCCTGACGGGGCCAGACGGGACCTGATGCGATGGGACGAGATGGGACGGCAGGGGACGTGACCAAAGAAAACAAGGCGGGAAAGGACAGTCAGGGTGGGACCAAACGGGACCCATATGATCCCGTTTGGTTCCGTCCGGTCCCGTCTGGCGCGTCTGGTACCGTTTGGTCTCGTCTGGTCCAGTCCGGTACCGTCTGGTCTCGTCCGGTCTCGTCCGGTCCCGTATGGTCCTATCTAGCCAGGTCTGGTTTCATCTGGCCCGGTCCAGTATCGTTCGGTCCTGCCCGGCTCCATCTGGTGTTGTCTGATGACTGGCCCCATTCGGCTACGTCAAGTCCTATCCAATCCTTTCTAGTCCCGTTCAGTCCCATCTGGTTTTGTTCGGCCGCGTCCTATTGTGCCAGGCCCCGGCGGCATCGTCCGGTCACGCGCCGCCTGGTCTGATCCTGACTAGTTTCTTCTTATCTTGTCCGATCCCGTCTGGACTCGTCACGTTCCTTTCGGCGCACCCTTGCTCTGTCTGGTCCCGCTCCGTCCGTCCGGTTTGTACGGCCACGTCCGATGGCGTCCGACATCGTCTGAGCCCGTCCGGATGGCGTCCGATATCGTCTGAACCCGTCCTGATGAGTTTGGTAACTTCCGGACCCCTTTGGTGATGGCCCCATTCCGTTCAAAATAAGATAAGTTATCAAGTGCTTTTGCGAAGAACAGTAAGCACATAAATATGGCAGTGCGAAAAGCCTTGTTCCTCATAGAATAACTTGGAGACAGGGAAGTTTGCTATTCTACGAGAAATACAGCTATTAATACTGCATTATTTATGGTCCCATTCCGTCCGCCCGGTGCCATCCGGTCCATCTGATGATATCCGATGCTGTCTGATCTCAATATGTTCCATCCGGTTCCATCCTCTCCCGTCCAATATTATCCGGTTCCGTTTGGCTGTGTCCAGTTCCGTCTGATCTCGTCTGACTTCGTCCCGTACCGTCCCGTGCGGGACTTCAATCAAGCTGGCAGGGGGTTTATGACGTCACCGTACAATCAGCTGAAAATGTTTGTAGCCTTTATGTTCATGCAGTCAAGGCGCGCATAATCAATTGAAAGCTGCACCGCCGATTTGTGCTTCGGTTGGTGTCGATTAGGTTAGTGAGAATTGTGAGGTAAGACCAGGGGTGTCTAGCGGGTAAAACGCTATTTGTTGTCGTCACGTATCAAATTAGGCTACACGAATCTGCTAACATGCCCGTAAATGTATTGTGCATCTGCTGATATCAATACTGGGTAGATCTTGTTCCAAATTCGATCCATTCAGCGTCAGGTCGTTTTAGGAATTGCGAGGGTTGCGCCTGCCGATGCCATGCCGAAGGACATCGATGGTTTATGTTAAGAAATGGGCTTTGAATTGTGTTGAATTACCGGTGCGAATTACTTCTTTAAAAATGGCGCAGGCTAGGTTATCAGTTATTGTTGCATATATTTTTTGGCCATGATGGGCTTTTAATATATTGCTTAGCTGAAGACTATTTTGCCATAAACATGCATTTTCAACAGATTTGGTTCATGTGGTGCATAATTTCTTCTCTGCATGATACCTGTCTGCTCTTGATTGTCATGAAGGCATTGCACTGCTCTGAAGGTGTGGGTGGTAGGCTCATGCAGTTATAATCACAGATGCCATTGTTTTTGTTGATTTTGAAATGGCTGCATGTCTTGATGGCTGGCTTTTTTGCTTTTGAAATAGCATAGGTTTTCTCAAATCCTGATATATTTGGAATTCTGGATGAGAATGTCGGAGTTGCATCATAGGAGGGTTGAAACAGCAGTCTGACAGAGACAGTGACTTAGCCTGTGATGACAACAAAAGTAATGGTTCTGGAGTATCAGTAGAACCCAAAATAATGTGATCCCAGTAACACATTTTGTTTCAACGCATTGCTTACATTTGTTTTTCTTCAACCACCAGAGGAGCTGATGTTCATAAACCAAGATGGATTTGTTGAAAGAGAGGCTTCAGGAACTTGCAGCCAAAGGTAAGATGGAACTAGTTTGCCTGCTAGCTGGCACTAGATTGCCTATTTTGATGATGTGTGAAAGGTAACAGACATGAAAGGGGAAATTGTTGTATGTATTGCATTATGTGGTGATTGAAATGGTGTTGTGTGATATCTATATTGATGATTTAACAAGGTGGCCTTATAGAAGCAAACATCAGAGGCTCTAATTGCTTCTTTGAAGTTTGCTAAGATCAGATGGCAGGTGGCAACAGATGGTCTCATGCTGCTTCTGAAACTGAGTACAATCTGTGTTTCACTTATTTGTCTGATGGCCTTGTTTTCAACCACTTCTGTGGATATTTAAAGTTGTAGCTCAGGATACTACACTTATTGTGGCCTTAAGCAGTGTATATTACCTTTGACCATGTGCAATCATTGAGACAGTAGGGAAAACAACTTTCTGATGCTTGATTTTAGGACGTCTGTCGGAGGAAGAAAAGCAGAAACAGAAAGAAAAGGAAGACACCGAGGTTGAGAAGCTTTACACTGAGTGGAAGGGGATGCAAATCGAAGATAGTGATCCTTCTTTGAAAGTCATTCCTCGATTTTACATGAAAGTGTGTAACAAGTTTAGACACATGATAGGTATAACTATTGATGTGCATATGACTGACTCAAATGGAGTGTTGTTGACCATCTTTGATGATCCCTTGTCGTCCGTGTTATAGCGCCTCAGATCATACCTGGAAAATGTAGAGCTGTTCGCTTAATATGTGACATTTAAACGTACAAGCAAATATTGTACATGGCCTTTGTATGCTGCATCTGTGTGTGTTGCATCTCTGGTTATAAGTGTGTCCCCTCCAAAACACATGCTGTTCCACATACATTAGTTATTTATCCCGAATCTAACCTAGTTTTCACAATGTCAGAACCGCCTACTGCCACCGATGTGTCATATTTTTACGACCCTGGCTTCAGTGATGTTTCCCTGGCTGTCGGTGAGAAGCACGCGTGGGGCAGGCTTTGTTAAATTGCTGGGTACATCTGGCGCGATTCGGTTATCCCCGGGTGGTGCACAAGTTCTGAGCGGCTCTTGAAAGGAAGGGATGTTCATAAGGAACTGGGATGGCTCCAGCAGGACATTGCACCCCTTCACACTATCAAGGCGATGAAAGAGCAGTGAAAGAAGCGTTCGCAGAAGAAGGGGTGGTCGGCCGGTTCTTTAATGTGGGCAGTCAGTCAAAGAAAAGAAAGCCGAAGGGGTGCATTGCTGTGACCTGAGTTTGCGCGGCTCGTTCCGTTTGGAATAAGATTTTTTTAAAGATGTAAAAAGCTACTCTTGAACGGCGAAAGCAAATATGGAGTACGTTAGAGCTATCAGCGCTGCACCATGTCAAAACGGATGTGAAATGTACCAGGAGTGTAGTTTCCTATTCATTTCGGGGCTTGAGCCCCCCCCCCCATTTTGAGAGAAAAATAGGCCAACACCGTCGGAAAACCCGTTTGTTGGTGAATTCTGGGGTATGCTCCTTAATATTTCACGGCTCACTCCCCCTGGATCCACTTTGCGAAACTACGCCTCTGGTGTGTACAGGTGCGTGCGCACGACCCGCACGCACAAATGCAGACGCACGCGAAGTGGGGGTTGCCTCGAAGAGACAGCATTGCAAACATCCGATTTCTCTAATGGAATGTCATGCTCAAACCAACATTACGAGACAAGTGCTGAACCAAACAGCTAAAATACCCTGCATTTGTTATGCATGTGCCGCGAGTAGTACAACACATTTAAAATGAAATCACACAATTTTGTGGGGAGCGTTTCGCTTTTACGCTGTTACCCCGGCATATAATAAGCTACAAATTCAGTTTTTCTCCTACGTGGAAGTGTACCCAGTTGCATGCAGTTAATTGTTCGCATTTGACTTATGGTTAAGACCTACGTTTCACTGTCATGCCCACTCATGAATGTTGCATTCAGTACTTGTGCTTTCGCGGTGCATTCAAAGGCACCGCGCGTTTTAACCTCACTACGCGCGTGTGCCGGTCGCGCACCCGGGCTCTGCCTTCCGTATGCCTCTGCCCGCTGTCACCGCTTATCATGCCTCAGCTGCCGGACGAGGAGGATGCTCTGCAGCAGAAGCTGCGCGAGGAGGCGCGCGCCGTGTTCCTGCAGCGGCGCAGCGAGCAGCTGCTGGATAACGACGAGCTGAAGGTGGGTGTCCGCAACATGCCGTTTGCTGGTGCGTTCGAGGTCCCGCCGATTTGCCCGCTTGAGCGGCAGCTGCTATGCCGGCCGTCGTCTTGGGTGGAGAACGCAAGGCTGGGAACTAACTCATATTGCCGTAGTTATTATTTATTATATTTAGTTTATTTTTATTATTATATTATATTCAGGTGACGTACTTCGTGACGCTTAACGATGATGACACCTCTGGCGGCGCTGGTAGGCGCTGTACATGCTGTTGGACGAGTGTGACACCCCTGGCGGCGCCGGTAGGCGCTGTACATGCTGCTGGACGAGTGTGACACCCCTGGCGGCGCTGGTAGGCGCTGTACATGCTGCTGGACGAGTGTGACACCCCTGGCGGCGCTGGTAGGCGCTGTACATGCTGCTGGACGAGTGTGACACCCCTGGCGGCGCTGGTAGGCGCTGTACATGCTGCTGGACGAGTACGACACTCCATGTTACTCTGGCAGGCGCTGTACGTGGTGCTGGACGAGCAGCACACGCTGCCGCCGGACGGTGAGGAGAGCATGCTCGGATGGGATGACTTCTGTGCGGCCGCTGAGCGAGCCGGCGACAAGTGCAAGTAAGTGGTCATCTGAAGCCGGATGTCGTGAGGAGCCCTCTGAGGGGACGGATGACGGATCGTCCGGGGACGGATGACGTCCTCCTCCTTCTGATGTGGCCTCTGCCACATGGCAGTCTAGAGACCTTGCACCCGTGAGGTGCTGCAGTCTGGGGATCCTTGCACCCGTGTGGTGCTACAGTGTGGGGATCCTTGCACCCATGTGGTGCTACAGTCTGGGGATCCTCGTACCCGTGAGATGCAATGTTCGGCTTGGTGTCGTTTATTGCAGCCATGGGTCACTCGTCTCATTTTTCAATTAATACATGCTTGTGCTAAGATACAAGCATTTTGGCTGACAGGAAGCTTTCTAAGACCAGCATTGTCGCGCCCTCGTTCAATGGATTGCCGGCGACTGCATTGGTCATATTAACGCTCGGGGGCCGTGGCGTAACAGGGATTCGGCTGGCAGGACAGCTCAGCCAATCGGGTGAATTGAGGCAGTTCGCCGTTTTAAAAACGTGTTCTTGCACATGCCGGTGTGTCATGAATTGAACCACCGCCTTCCTCAGGCGGTACTTCACCCCGTTCGTCTTCGCCAAGCTGCAGCAGGACGATCCATATGGCAGAATCTGCATGATGTCCTTCTTCAACTACGTGATGCGCAAAGTATGGCTGCACCAGACCAGGATCGGCCTGTCGCTGTATGACGTTACCGGAGAGGGCTACCTGCGGGAAACAGTAAGGAAATGGAAGTATTCGGCTCCTTTAAGTTCAGTTCGTAATTGTGCTTCAGGTCTTGGTGGCTCAACCGGACTGTCCATTTTTACGTGGATTCGAAATTGTGCTTGCCGTTCTATCAGAAACGCTGCTGTATCATTGCATGTTACCTTAAGCCCATCTTAAAATAGAATGTGTCTAACACGTCATTGACGTGTTCTGTGCACAAGTGACGCCGCCTCTTGTGCATACCGTATGTGTGCAGGGCGCAGGCACGTATACATGGGGACGCACCACACAGCATCATGCTACGTGCTCCTTTAACAGGAAACGCCTGGGGCTGCTTGGAAAAATTATATCATCCATCTCCATGCTGTGGTTATGGCGAGGCTTGTTGCTGTTACAGGATCTGGAGAACTACATTTTGGAAATGATTCCAACATTGCCACAACTGAACGGCCTCGAGAAGTCGTTCCACAACTTCTACGTCTGCACGGCGGTCAGGAAGTTCTTCTTTTTTCTCGATCCGCTACGCACGGGGAAGATTAAGATCCAGGATGTGTTGGCGTGCAGCTTTCTCGACGAGCTCCTTGAGGTACAGCCGCCAAGCCAGCTTAGGCCGCTTCAAAGGCTTGTTTTGCAGTGGCTTGCCAGCTGCTGGCGTCACTTGTCGGCCCAGCAACGGAATACGCGTTTTGACGTTTACGGCTTAAATTCTGGAACCTTCGGGAAACAGTGGCGCTGAAAGTTACATAGTTTGGTCGCAGTCGCTCAAAATAGGTCGTGCAACATTCCCAAGAGCCTGCAACCTCTTGGGCATCTAGATCCTAACCCACCGTGCGATGGATCGACATCTCATCCTGCTCATGCTCTGTCATGTTTTGCAGCCGTCTACGTCGGTGCAGTTTGTGTGTGACCCTTTTAATGTTGCGATGTGCGTGCTGGTGATGGGCTTCTTCCCACGCGCTGCTACGAGCTCGTCCCGGCTGCGGCGCTCACGGCCGCCGGTCCGCCTGTCCACCCGCCTGTTCACCCGTGTGTCGCCGACCAGCTGTTCACCCATGTGTTGCTGGCCGGCTGTTCACCCGTGTGGCGCTGACCAGCTGTTCACCCGCGTGTCGCTGACCGGCTGTTCACCCGTGTGTTGCTGGCCGGCTGTTCACCTGCGTGTCGCTGGCCGGCTGTTCACCCGTGTGTTGCTGGCCGGCCGTTCACCTGTGTGTCGCTGGCCGGCTGTTCACCTGCGTGTCGCTGGCCGGCTGTTCACCCGTGTGTTGCTGGCCGGCCGTTCACCTGTGTGGCGCTGACCAGCTGTTCACCCATGTGTTGCTGGTCGGCCGTTCACCCGTGTGTTGCTGACCAGCTGTTCACCCGTGTGTTGCTGGTCGGCCGTTCACCTGTGTGTCGCTGACCAGCTGTTCACCTGTGTGTCGCTGGCCGGCTGTTCACCCGCGTGTCGCTGACCAGTTGCGTGACGAGGAGCTCAGCAAGGAGGCGCAGGAGTCCAACTGGTTCTCGGCGCCGTCAGCGCTGCGCGTGTACGGCCAGTACCTGAACCTCGACCGCGACCATAACGGCATGCTCAGCAAGGCTGAGCTGGCCCGGTGAGCTCTTGGACTGGTGTCAGCAGCATGCCCAGCAGGGCGTGCTGCTGGCATGACATCGCAGCGAGGGTACATATGCTATGCGTCGCCGTATGCGTGAGAATACAATGGTTCCTTTGTGACAATTTTTTGTAAAAGAGGATGCGTTTTTCACTGGATATGTGTGTAAATTGTATGATAAATTGTATGCTGTGTTGGCTACTCCATTTCGTGCTGTAAGTTCATCCCAACAAACAAACCCATACCGATTCGTGTTTTCATGAGCCTAATTTCATAAACGCCAAGCGCCCGAAATTGTGTGTGTCTTGGACTGTCCCGAGCGTGGGTTAAAAAACTACGCCAGTGTGTGTGAGACATCGCCTCCAAAGATACCCTCCCACATTAAACACCGTGACCACCAACACCGCCTCCCCGGCGGCAGGTACGGCACCGGCACGCTGACGTCGGTGTTCATCGACCAGGTGTTCCAAGTGTGTCTGACCTACGACGGCGAGATGGACTACAAGACGTACCTGGACTTCGTCCTGGCACTGGAGAACCGCCGCGAGCCGCAGGCGCTGCAGTACCTCTTCCGCATCCTGGACGTGCAGCAGAGCGCCTCACTCAACATATTCGCCCTCAACTACTTCTTCAGGGTGCGGCGCCAGCCCGATGCGGCCCGTTCCCCCGGGAAAGGGCTGTACGGCTGGGGGCGTGTGTGTTGTGGCGCGGTGCAACAAAATGGCTCATCGCGTGCGTGTTTGTGTGTTTTTGGTGTCCATGGCGTATTATTTTCTTACTTTGCTCTCTTCTCCTTTTGTGTTTTTATGCAGGGATGAATTTTGCTTTGTGTGATGAGTTTCAGCAAAGTTCGTGACCCTATACGTGGCCTTTACAGTATCAGAGCACTGTGTTTTTGTCATCACGTCTTAACGAATCAGCTAAAGTGTGTCAAAAAATAAAATTAAAGCACGTGTCTTGCCCGCCAGACCACTACGTCTTTTGAAAAGAGCACGCATCACACAGCACCTGTCAATGGGTGTGAAGGTAACTGTCCTCAACTCGGTGTCATGCACTCGGTTTTAAACGTTTAAACCGTGTAAAGCTCGCCCTGCAGCCCCTTGCTCCACCTACTATGCGTGGCTGTGTGTGCAGGCCATCCAGGAGCAGCTGAAGGCGCACGGCCAGGAGCCAGTGCCGTTCGAGGACATCAAGGACGAGGTGTTCGACATGGTGAAGCCGGCCGACCCGCTCAAGATCACCCTGCAGGACCTGATCAACTGGTGAGCCGCTGGCCGCGGACCGCGCGCCGCGTCGCTGGTCGGGGCGGCCGAGTGTCGGGGCGACGCGGCGCTGGGCGTGCGGCGGATTTGCATGCGAGCGGCTGTTCGGGACGCGCGCGTCGGCGCTCGCGGACGGTTAGTGACGCTGGCGCGCTCATCTCAGGAGTCGGCAAGGCGTGGCGGTACGTGAGTGCTGGGGGGCTCTGTGTCACTGTGTTGCGATAGGGCGTGGTGACATAAACGCATCAAACAAGGTACCTTAAAGTGTGGATGTGCCTGGAATTTAAGGACATTAGCCCTGCGATGTGATGTAATATCCGATCGCGAACTTGCAGGTCAGCGGCATAATTTAGTATCGACAGCGTGCTGCATTGCTCTTTATGCAATATTCTAAGTTGTATTTTAATAGTTGCCATTTGCATTAAGTATAAGTTGACAGCAGAATCAATCGCGATTGTGCTGTCACGCTCATGAACAAGATTTGTCTGTGATTAACGTGAGAAATGCAACATTTTGCATCGTGAAAAAAATATTTTGTGTACGGGTCGAAACGAGGCCTCTGGACGCCGACGACCCGATGTTGCAGCGGCACGAAAACAGCACGGAAGGACTGAGAGAACGGGCCGCCATACTGGCAAAGAGCGCCGAGTGCGCGCGCTCGAGCGCACGGTTCCCTTCTTTACCGATCGAGCTTATGGGTTGGTGTCAGGTCTCGACATGAAGCTCTTGTGTACGGACTTCCAAAGGCGCGTGGTCTTATCCGCTGAAGTCGTGTTGTGGACAGCAGGGCCATACTGATAGTGTTTGTGGTCAGCACGCTCGTCCGATGCCGCACGAGACGGTTTATTGTATTGTTTTGGGTCTGCCGCTCCACATTGAGGGTGCCGAATGCGCGACAAATTTCTGGGCGGGTCGGTCGCATTTTCGGCAAGCTGAGCTTGATTTGTGTCGGTTCAAGGCTGCGGTAAGCGTTATTCGCCACGCCTCTCGTGTGAACTCCAGCGCAGCTTTCGCGTGAGCTTGCCACCTTTCCAGCGTCCATGTTTCGTCGTCCGTCGAGTGCTGATGTGGGCGGTCGTTTCAGCGGCCAGGGTGACACCGTGGTCAGCATCCTCATCGACCTCAACGGCTTCTGGACCCACGAGAACCGGGAGGTGCTGGTCGCCGAGGGTGAAGACCCGACCGCAGCGCTGCTCGCCGACAAGTGACCGCGCGGCGAAGCTGCAGTACGGCGATGACCGATAGATGGCTGTGCTTTGTCGTAGGCAGTTGAAGAGGGCTGGGATTCACGTCTAATGATGTTAAATTCCAAACCTGGCGTTGTTTTGTTGCTCTTCCAGACTCTCGAGGACGTCACCGTATCGCATGGTCATATGCTTGCATAACTTGAACTTGGTTACGTTATTAGTTGATGGCGTGTGGGTTTGACTGCGTACCTGTGCCGCCGGCTAGCGATTGCCTCCCTGACATCCATTATTCATGCCTTGTGGCCTCTGAGAAGTTGTGAGATACAACAAGATCTTCCATGTGATAGCTCTCCGCTCCGTCCGTCGTAAGGTTTTCATTGCGTGCCGAACATGTGTACCACTTTGTGGTGTCACTTGTCTATTATGTCTACCATTGGTGAGAATTATACTGGCTAAGTGCAGGCATATCACATGATCTCAGATTTGATGCGGTTGTCGCTTGTAAACTATGTGGTATCGGATCTATACATCACTGCATCGCCAAGCTGAGGAAGGAAAGTGACTGTTGGCACTGATGTTGGGAAGGCATAGGGCGAGTCCTCTGCAGACATTAGTGGGGCGTCTTTGTACATTTGTCAGAGTGTTGTCTGGCGTTCAGATTTGTTAAATGCAGGTCAAGTAGCAACTGTTGAGGCGTTTGTCCAGAACAGGCACAGGCACTACTATTTCATTTGGCACATGCTAAGAGGCATGTGTATACTAAGAGGCATGTCCATTCGCCGGCGAGACAGAACTCGTCAGTGCTGTCATCCGATAGCCCTTCTATGAACCTGCCACTGGGCGCCTTCCAAGTAAGGCTGTCTGTCCACCGTTGGTTTTCGCTCACCTTCGCTGTATGGGAGAAATGGGGCGAGGTGATTAATCGGGATCTAACCGCGGACACATAAGCCTCCTGGCTGCCGCTGGACGCTCGCACGGTGGGCGCCTGGTGGGAGGGGGGGCCCGGGCGCCTCCCCGGGCCAAATGACATTGCTAGGAGCGCAACACGCTGGCATGACAGGACCGTACTTTGGTCTGTGACGGGCAAGACGCATGTATATTTTGGACATCCAATGATGGACCATGTCGGGGTAGGCCAGCGTCGGCGCACAGGGCTGAAGACCTCGGAGCACGAGGAAGGTTCAGACCCCATCCACGAAGCCAGCACCCCAGTGTCTCCAGTCCTGGTAGAAGACGATGTCCACATGGTCGCTGTCGGGGCCATGTGGACGCACGCCTGTGCGACTGCAGTACGGGTGGCATCAGTTCTGCCGTCGATGGCACGTGAACTGCGGGACAACGGCGCAGGGGGCTGAGCATTGGCGTTGGCTAGAAACAAATGAACCAGAAAGGATAGCACACCCCCTCTCACAGCATCGAATGACTTCTATTCACCCCCCGCGAATTGTTGGTCACCGGGCTCGGCTAGCCAATTTTGAGTCGGTCGCCCCCCTACATGGATTGCATTCCCGAGCGGTCCATAAAGGATTAAAAAGGCACGGTTATTTCATTTCTTTACACGTTATTGATGATTTGTTTTGTCTGCGCCGTGCGCTTTGTCTCTGTTTATTTCAGCTCAGATTGGAGAGAGTCAAGTGTTTTTGGACGATTTGCCGATATGTCCTCCCCTGGACTTGTTGCTGGAACCATCCTTGGCCTCTGTCACCGTCCCGCCCCCCTAGCGGCGTCTTCGGCGCCAATTGGAGGTGTCCTTGAAACTGGCGCAGCGGCCCGTGTACGCCAGCCACGGCCCGGGTTGCGCGGGTCGTGATGAATAGTCCGCACGGGTCGAGGCGCGGAGTTCTTGGATTGGGAAAGGTCAGCGATCCCCTTATCAGGTTTGCTGTGATCATCGCGGCTGCGGCTCAGTCTCGTGTCGTCACGTGGCGTAGCTATTAGGTGGGGAGTGAGTCACCTGGTTGGGCGTCTATAGTTGAGTAGTCTGAATAATCGAGCTCTGAGCCCGGTGATTAGATATTTATCCTGCGCATGATATTGATGCTGTTAGTCTGATGTGTTGCTTGCTGGTGTGTAACAGTATGGTTTCAGTTAGCTATCTAGGCTGTTAAGTTATATATGCATGAGTAAAGTAACTGAATTTTCTAAGGGCCATGGCCCTGCATTGCTGCATTTTCCCCCTCACAAGCATGTATGCATGCATGCATGCACGTGCGCACGCACGCACATGCACACATGCACACAACACACACACACACACACCTATAATAATGCTAGAGATAGGGGACAGATGGTCCAAGAGAAATACTGGGGTTGCTCTTGTCATGGATGGTGTTGCATTGCCGCCCCCCCCCCCTCCCTCCAATAACCTATGAAGTTTCACCCTTGGATGCATAACCTCTCCATCATGCTGATTTTGCTCCAGCTGTATGCTGTCATGAAAGTTAATTGGCAATGCTATGATTTTTCACTGTAATATCAACAGATAATGCTCAGTGCTATGAAAAGGCATCACTGTTTAAACAAACATATGGATTATCTTGTGATGCACAGAGATATGGTCTTGCATGTCAGACATGTAGCTTTGACTTATAACAATTTATATTGTTATGGGTTAGTAATTTGCCTACATAGGCTTGGTAGTCTCGTGGCATTCGTTGAGTATGCTGCCTTCGACCAGTACTGATTCGAAATTCAGACTTTTCCGAAAGATAAAAAAGCTCTTTAAAAAATTACTTGTGTATGCTCAGCTCAAGTCAACACTGACAGGCACTGGTAGTGTGGCAGTTAAGGTCTGCATCTGGGAAGCTGAAATGACAAGGCGTGGTTCACTGTGAGGATTGGTTCATTGCATTTGGATGTTATTCCTGCGGGTGTGGCAGGCAGGTGGAGCTCTTGCATGTAGTCTGAATGGCCAGGTACATGGTAAAGCCCTGTTTATGACATCAAAAACAAGTTAACATGGAATTTGTTGTGCCTCAAAAATAAGGCCCAGAATTTGATTTTTTAAAAGTCTGAAATCAGTACTTCATTCAAAAGCATTGCTGCAAATTTCTACTCTAATGACACTGCTCATCATGTTTATGTACTGCCGGCATTTTGGATGTCCATCCCAGTTGACAGTTGAGTTCCCAGCAACTGGCCTGCATCTTAGTATGCCTTGTTTTGGAATGATGCTTTTGTCACTGGATGTGATGTAAACTGTAAGATGAATGCTTTGCAAGATGATGTTATGCAACATTAGCTGTTTGATGCATTGGGCATGCTGAGTAGTGGGTGAAATGAACATATGACTGTCCAACTGGCTGTCGAAAGTGCTAAGCCACATCACAGACTCAGCAAACATGACCACATGGGTTTGGTCATCTGAGTGATAACATCACCAAAATATGAATCAGATGGTCATGATGTTGCTGAGGGTCAGGGACAGCACTGAGCATGGAACACAGAGTATGATGCACAGGGCATAGAGGGGGCTGGGCATAGAGAGGACCGAGAGGTGGATTACAATACATGGAGCACAGGGCTCGGAGCACGGTGCTCGGAGCATGGGATGCAGAATACTGGGCATAGGGCACAAGATGCAATGTGGAGTGGGCTGGAATGAACCGCAGTGGACCATAGAGCGCTGAAATCACTGGGGTTTCAGAGATCAACAGAATTACTTGGAATGGCTTGAGTGTCGCGTTCACGGAACCCTGCTGAGCCTGCCTGAACCAAACGGGGAACGGATATGGCCGGAGAGCACCGAACAGGTGACCGGAGAGGATCAGACAGGTGACCTGAGAAGACTGGGCAGATGACTTAAGAGAAATGGACAGATGACCAGGGAGGACTGATCAGGTGACTGGAGAGGACCGGTCAGATCACCGGACAGATGACCAGGGGGCACCGGACAGATGACCGGAGAGGACCGGACAGGTGACTGGAGAGGACTGGTCAGGTGACTGGAGAGGACCGGTCAGATCGCCGGACAGATGACCAGAGGGCACCGGACAGATGACCGGAGAGGACCGGACAGGTGACCGGAGAGGACCGGTCAGGTGACTGGAGAGGACCGGTCAGATGACTGGAGAGAACCGGACAGATGACTGGTGATGACTGGACAGGTGACCGAGGAGGACCGGTCAGATGATCGGAGGGCCCCGGACAGGTGACTGGAGAGTACCGAACAGATGACCGGAGAGGGCCGGACAGGTAACCAGAGAGGACTGGACAGATGACTGGAGAGGACCGGACAGGTGATCAGACAGGCGACCTGAGAGAACCGGACAGGTGCCCGGAGAGGGCTGGACTGGTGACTGGAGGTGATCGGAGAGGACCGGACAGATGACCAGAGAGGACCGGGCAGCTGACCAGGGGGCACCAGACAGATGACCGGAGAGGACTGGGCAGTTGACTGGAGAGGACTGGACGGGTGACCGGACAGGTGATCAGAGAGGACCGGAGAGTACCGGACAGGTGACCAGAGAGCACCGGACATTGACCATAGGGCACCGGACATGTGACCAGAGGACACCGGACAGGTGACTAGAGAGCACCGGACAGGTGACCAGAAGCGGCTACAGCAGCCACGTAAGTGTCAGCACCAGAATGAACCTACCTGACTGAAATGTTTTCAGCTGGACTGGACCAGGCCGAAACATCGCTGCTGGTCCTGTACGGGTCGTAGGGGACTGTGGTCATAGAAACGACCACGGAGACAGTAGGATTCAGGGGTGTATTGTCCTATGCAGATGGGTAGCTTTAACCTCCCCTCTTCCCACCGACTTCGGCCCCATCCCCCTACCAACTTGCACTACAGCCCCCCTCCCCCCCCCTCCTAATTCTTAGAGGGAAGTGGACCAAATCCAAGGAAAACTTTTCTGGCGTGTTTTGGTGGGAAGTTGAGTAATTGATCACTGGTCAGCTCCCCCTCCCCCCCCCCCCCCCTCCTCCAATTCATTTTGAGAAACTGCACCCCCAAGAGGCTTAGAAATGACTGGAAAAGACCAGACGAGTTTCAAGACGGTGGAGCACTTCACAACTCACGGAAGCTGACCGGAACAAGCTGGAAATGACTTGACGGGTACGCACCGGGGGACTGGACCAGGGCTTAGGTCTTGATCCGAGCTGTAGCCAGTTTCATGAAGAGAAGTTACTACTTACTGCGAGCTGGCAGAAGTAATTTTGGCGTTAATCCCTACTTTCTACGCCGGTTTCATGGGCCTGGCATCACTTCTCCGAAATAAAAAGTAAAATTCCAAGGCTGAAGTAATTTCCATAGCGATGCAAGCGGTTATGTTCATGGCAACGATGTTTTCGGTTTGGACCTGAGAGATCAAGATGCCTGTAATGCATCCAGAAATACTGATAAGGTTACGTGAAGTGTGGTCATTTATAGATTAACGTGGTGATGGATTTGCGCTTTGACTATTAATTCCTACACCAAGTGCGATCAATTTTTTATTCGCTGAAATACAGACATCTTATATTTATCGGTATTGTTCCGCTACTCGCAGAAGTAAACAATGCTGTTCGGTTCGTGTGTTCATACCCTGGTTCCTAGGGAAGCTGTACTACGTGTGAAGGCAATATGTACGACAACGAAAGGTCCTTGAAATAGCTGACTTTATCCTTACCCAAGGTTGTGCATTTTGTGAACTTAAATCATGTCTGTCCGTGTCATAGCAAAAAATAAAACAAAATCTCGTGAAATCCGCGACTTGTGAGAAAGAGGTTGGTTTTCATAACGGTCTGCCAGCTTGATCCACCACCGTTCTTCTGTTTGTGATGCCCACAAAGCTGCTATACGAACCGCAGTTGCATTGATTTTCTCACATATGCGTACTCGTCCGCCCCTGACATCTTGAGATCGCTTCATAGTTCAACAATCTCCCACTGCAGGTTGATTCTCGATCTGAATAGCGTGTTCCTCCGCTCCCGTATGGCCATGCTCCGGCTCCTCTATGATCACCATTGATTATTTTACGACGGGCCGGAGCATCTTTTTATTTAACTTTAGTTTCGAAGTAAATGTCTACCCCATGGTCAAACCATTTGCGTGTATGGAACCCGATGGATGCCTGGTGAAGTACAGAATAACTCCTTACTCTAGATCTCCCCATAGATAGTATAATTTTACGAGCGTTGAAGTAAACAGTCACTATTTACTCCATGCAACCGGATTCGAGGTAAAAGGTTGTCGAGTTACTCCCTACACCACATTTACACGCCATTGTGTCTATGAAACTGGCTAGTGGGCTTGATCGTGCTCGGTTAAACTAGACGTAGCTGGACAGGAAAGGACCGACAATGAACAGCAAATCAAGAGCAGAGTTCACGTGTATCAGACCGATATCCCACAGGGTAAAAATGTAATGTTATATTGTTGTTTACAGCCGTTTTCACCGTTCATTTCAGGCGCGGCCATGTGTGACCAAACATCTTCTATCTTAAAGCGAGAGCCCAACATCCAACACGAAGACCTTCCGGACCGTGTGACGTCATCACTGGGAGATATCAGTAAGTACAGCCAGAGCTGCAACAGATGAGGAATTTTAACGTTTGAGCCTTACCGGAGACCTTAGTGTGGAGTGCACCAGCTGGTTGGGGAGGGGGCTATCGGCTGTACCGCATTAAGGAATTGCGGCTGGAGGATGTAATCTTCGTCAACGGACTTTTTAAACTAGTGGATCCCTGGAAGTTTGCAAAAATAGGTTGCGGGCAAAAGTACGGACGGCATTTGTTCGTAGCCCCAAAGCACGTATGCCTAATGTTTGTCAGGTTTAAGTACGTAGAGTTCGTAATGGCAAAGGTTCGTACCGGCGAACGAACTTATAGATCAGATCCCATGATGAAATGTTCGTCAGGAGAACATTTGTAGTGAAAATGTTCGTACGTTCAAAAGTTCGTACGTAAAAAGGTCTACAAGCGGGCACCCCACTCGTTCTCACGTCGTGTTACATCCGACGCGTACGATTTGATCAGTGATACCAGTTTTTCGAAATCCTTCTGAAAAGCTTAGAATTTCGATTTAAAGCAGCCGACCCTGCGAGAGAAATGTCATTAGACTCCCTGCTCACCACTACGAAAGTAGTACATTTCATTTGCGTTACTTTGCCAACGTATGTGTTCTCTAATATTTGCCACACCCTTGTGTTTTAAAACGTTGCGTAATGAATGCTGCGAAAGCGTGAAACATTGTTTAAACAAAAATGTATTCGAATATGAAGTTTTTATCCAGGGAACTCAACGAAACATTGTGCTATGACTGATTTCTCTTCTATAGCGTTTGCCACAGTGGCTCTTTTCGAGGCGCACTTTGGCTTTTGGAATGCGAGTATCACATGGTCCATGTGAGGCACTGGTGCAAACTTCAGCCAACGAACTTCTCAGCAACAGGCCCTTGCGCGCTGAGCATTCACAAACGTTCCTGTATTCGCGCCAGTAGAGGTGTGCATGGTAGTTGCCACGACTGCGGTGTTCGTGACGGCAGGAAAGAAGCGTGATTCTGTTACAAAGTTTTGGCAGCGTAATTCGAACTCGAAAATTATTAAAGGTCGTATCCTTATTGTGCATAGACTGTGCTGCAGTGACACTACGCAACGTTATTATTAGACGTAGCTAGTCGTGAGGTTTCACCAGAGTATGTTTTTGGAATATACCTCCAGGGTGGGACGCTTCCTTCAAGCAATTGTTTGCACCCAAATATTTGAGCGCTGATGTAAGTTAGGGAGAGCACTTGTTGCACAGAAGAACGCAAGCTGAGGTTCGTACTTCAACAGCTGATGTAAGCACATAGGTTTTGTACAACAATTTCCTCAATGATGAAGTGCGTTTGACGACAGTAAAACGTACTTCTCTGCTTAACTCCGTGTGGAGATGTGTGCTGAACACTGGCATGTAGATATTCGTCTCGGTGTCAGTTGCTGGGCTAGTAGCCACTATGGGGCCATTACACTCTCGACTGGGGAGAGGAGGGAGGTGGGGGATGACGATGAACGGCGACGGTTTCAAAGGTCAGGTCAAGTATTATGGCTCACCAAACTCTTCATGACATGAACTTTACACTCTGAGACGACCTGGAAATGAGTTCGAATCAGTTGGGAGTATGCAAGACGACACTGAGATGGAGAGGACTGGAGGTTTAAACAGCAATATAAGACAGGTCTACCGCGGATCACCCGCCGAGTTTGTTGCGCTCCCCCACTATCCCTCACCCTGACGACGCCTCTGTCGACTCTTCGCCTGACGCCCCCTGAACGCGCCACTGGCGCCAGCTGACGGACGCGGCGTGTCAGCTCGCTTGTGGAATGCGGCGGGTAGAGGCGCCTAAGACACCTGGTATGCGACTGCTGATGTAACGTATATCGAAGACCAAAGGGACTGACGCACCAGCTAGACCTGCTTTGATACACCCCCTTTGATAGGAACCCTGTTTGCACCCGAGCCATCTGAGGTAGCCCGGAGCAGCGGTTGGTGGGGCGTGCCCACATGAGAATGAATGAGCCCGGGCTTTTCATCAGTTCATCACATCGCTCCGGTTGGTGCGGTCTGAAAGGAGGTTCCTGTCGGACAGTAAAGGGATTCTCCGGCTGCTTCTAAGCAGGCCCCTCATGGCTTGCGAACACCGACCCGCTTTCCCCGAGGGCGCTACCAGCATGTGAAGAATACCACCCGTGACTGTAAAGGCAATTTGGCAGTAAAGCCCCAGTCAGAAATACCAAGGTCGCTACAGCGCTGGTGTTAACACGAAACTAACGGAAAGAGAAATAAGTCCGCAATGGTGGAACGGATCACCCCAACGAAACGTGATCAGGCTGTACTGTGTACTGAAACTCGTGTCAGCTGGATGTTTTTTTTTTTTGTATTAGAGCTCTTTCGACCAGAAATGAGCATTTCAGGGCTATGGGATGAAGGAAAATGGCTAACGATAGGGTAGACTCGCATGCGCCTGGGGGGGCTAACCGCCGGGCTTTAACTCGCGCATGAGCGCTGGGTACCCGGCCGGGGTCCCCCTTCCCACGGGGCCCTCGGCCCACTCGTGGCTGACGCATGCAGCCTGCCTCGGACAAGCGGGGTGTCGCGAGGATGCAGAATGAAGCAAGATAGAGGATAAGAGGTACGGATGCTCGATGGTTTTGTGCAGGTATACAACCTGGCGAGATTCATAGGTTGAATGTTTTTGCTCTCTCATCAATCACAGAGAAATATACCTACCACCAGCGAATACCAGCCAGTAGGTAATTAACCACAAATTGATCCATCATAAACGTAGCAACTAAAACTAACAAACACGAGTAGTATCAACGGAATACGATATCATGTCCAGCACTTAGCGTGACCAAATGGCGCCATCCAGCAGCAACGAGCTGGCCTCCGTGCGCACATCGCACCGGTACAGAAGCTCACTAGCTCGCTAGATTGCGTACCTCGCACCGCGACTGGAGCTCACTGGCTCTCTAGTTTGCACACCTCACACCGCTACTGGACCTTACTAGCTCGCTAGATGTGCGTACCTCGCACCGCTACGGGGGCTTACCAGCTCGCTAAATGTGCGCACCTCGCACCGCTATTGGAGCTCACTAGCTCGCTATATTACGTACCTCGCATCGCTACAGGAGCTCACTAGCTCGCTAGATGTGCGCGCCTCGCACCGCTATTGGAGCTCACTAGCTCGCTATATTACGTACCTCGCACCATTACAGGAGCTCACCAGCTCTCTAGGTGTGCGCACCTCGCACTGCTTCGGGAGCTCACCAGCTTGCCAGAGTGGAGCCACGGCAAACCCGTCGTCTGTCTATCATTTATGGCGTGATCCCATAAATAGTGACTGATGGACACTCAGCGGGCATTCGACTGGCGTGCGCTTAAGGCAAAAGCCTGCGTGATGGGAAGAGCTAGCACGTACGCGGTCCGAAGCCGAATGGTCAGGATCTTCGTGGACGCCTGCGACACGACACTAAGTCGTCTTATGCGTCACAGATCGAGCAAAACGAGGGTGCCGGTAGTGTAGTGGTTACCGCGTCTGCGTTAACCGCTGCGCGTCTGGGAAACAGAGGTACGGGTTCGATTCCCCGGGGTGCCCGCATTTCCTGGCAGGGTGAGAGGCAGGCGATGTCATATGGCCTCAACAGTTGCTTGCGTCGTTAGGCCCCGATGACACACAGCGAGCAAAGCTATGAATTTTGTGAATGTCATCAGCTGTTACGTAGATGATGTCAAGGGGAAAGGTAATGAAATTAGACACCCTGGGCAACTGACACAGCAGCTTGGGTCAATGCTTTGGTTGAAGACCATTGTATTTGAACGAACAGATAACTCCAAAAAAGCAGAATCATCGCCAAAAAAAACACCTAAATTGGAAGCAGATAGTGGTCACCATAAGCGGGGTTGCGCGCCCATGTGCATTCCGTGGCCGTATCCGTTTAGGCTGCTGCATCGTATATTCCATGTTGGTTCCGGGAGTGCGGCCATGTTCGCTCTCCCGCCGGTTATGGTTCCCATGGCAACCCTGCGGCTCGGACAGTTTCGAGCGGGCTGCAGCCGGTGCTTCCGCTTTCACCCTGCAGTGGATTCACGTCCTCATCGGTGTTCCAGTTGCTAAGATCCGGCATAAATCCTTGAAAACGCCCGAGAACAAGTCGACCCGTGGTTTTGGCATGACAGCTCGTGACCGTGGGAACACATCGATTCCCGATTCCGTGCATTCGATCGTCCGTGTTGTTCCCCGTCACAAACGGCCAGTTCCGTGTCGCTGGCGATGGGTCGCTCACTGCTTGACCCGGTTTCTCTTCATGTTCTTTAGGTCTTCCGCAGTTATGCAATTTTGCGTTGTTCGTGTTGAGCCAGTGGGGTAGTGGAGTCGTGGTAATATTATATTTTTCCAGAAGATGCCCCTGATCAGAGACCTTACATGTAGATGACGAGCAATCTATGCTGCATAATCTTTAAAGAACGCAACTTCCTGCGGTTGAAAACTGCATGAACCTGCGACCAGGGGTTGTTAAGATATGTAACGCTTAGAAAGCCCCCCCCCCCCCTCCCCCCCAGCCGAGCATGGTCCGGGCGCTCAAGTTTAAGCTTTACCGTAGTTCGAGGACGATTCGCTGTGCCTGCGGTCTCGCTGGTAAGCAGGTTATTCAACTTGGTTCTCTTCCAGACACCGAGCTGGAGACATCCGATCTGCAGCAACAGCAGACGGATTCCGCACAAGATCTCCGTGGGCTAGACATGGGTACTAACTTGAGTGAATTGGTACGCTCTTGAGCCTGTGTTGCCGGTAGTTTGTGTCTGTCTTCCACCGGGAGGATTTGCTGAGGGTTAGCCTGTCTTCCCTTTCTCCTGGTTTGCTCACTGGCGTATCGAAGATAATTCGGTAGGGTATTGGGACAACGATATCGTCCGTAGTTGAAAGAAGAAATGAATTATTGTATGATCACGGTAGAATCGGGTTCGACGAAAATCATCAGCTACGTAATCGTAGGCCGCTCGTTGAAACCGTCTGAAGAGGTCTGCAATTGGCCGTAAGCGAAGATGATGTCCCACTTAGCATCCGGTAAAATCCACGGTAGCTTCATGGAGTGAATTTCGAATGAACTATGTGCAGAGGTCTAAGTCAAACAAAACAGATCAATGCAATACAAATCAATAAAATACAAATGAAATCAGTTCAAATCAAACAAAGCAAATCAGTCAAACTTTTCCGTCAAATACGGTGGAACTTCATTTCATCCAAAGGTTGCCGGCAAAGTTCGGATTTTTAGACGTCGAATTTGGTGCATACAATGGCGTTAGTGGGAAAATCCTCATCTCTCTAGGTGTACCTTCAAAGTGAAATTGAAGACCAAATGACGGCAGACTCATTTTCGCCTAAATGTATCCACCTATATTGGATTGTTAGCATCGAAACTTTATCCAGCACATAAACTAGCGTCCGTCAAATGTCCTTGCCTCTTAACTTAAAGTCATTCTTAGTTGTCACTATGACGAGGAAATGCCGGGAACTCTATCAAACCCGAAAGTTAACCCGGTTGAATGCGGGAGCTACAAGTGCTAGATTCTTATTTAGCGTCATATATACAGCCGTGAAGCGGTCCTTACCACCCAAGTTTCAGGCACCCGTCATTTGACCTTAATTTGACCTTCAAGGTTAATTTTCGGAAGTCAGGACCTTTTTTATGCGAGAATCGTTTCAAATTTTATGAGCATGTATATTCCAAAATAATGTGCTCGATTGTCTAATGCTCCGCGACCGTGGGTGACTCAAGCTTTGAAGCGACACTTGAAGCCTGATGACTCAGCGCATAGCGCGTTTAGTACGTAAGCGTCGTTTGAATTAGGATCGGCAAACACATTTATGGGCACTACATGACTGCTGCATTCGACGAAGCGATAAAACCTCAAATGCCACTATTTTTTTCGAAATTACCATTCAATGGACCGAAGAAGGTGAAAGGTGAAGTTAAAGAAGGGCAAGAGTGATATGAACTTCTCATTTCTCTTATACTTTTATCTGTAGAATTGACTTTGAGAGGTCGTAACTCATCGACGAACGTTAGTAGATGCGCAAGAAAGATCCTGACGCCTAGGAATCCGAAATATTCTGAAGACCCCTCGGTATTGCTTAGTCTACTTGTTTTTGCCTTGAACTCTAGCTTTCATGTCGCATGATGTTGAAAAGTAAAGATCAGATTCCTGTCATGCCGTAATGGACCATTTCATGCGTTTTCGTCCAAATCGGATTTCGGCACTAAATGACTTTGTAAATAGACTGGTAATTTCATGGACATAGGGCATGCGGCAAACGTGACTGAGCCCTCCAGCTTCCTGAAAATTTAGCGTTGGTCCTACCGCCATTGACTTGAAAAGAACCAAGAATGGCTACTACCCCTTAACATAGAGACCTTCCGTTGCTCACGCGGTGTTTTGTATTTGAGATCAGTTTCAGAAAATGGCGTTGGCCGCTTCCTAACTGGTGCGCCGATGGGCGCACAACTGTGGAATCTGCTTGCAAGGTGCAGCCGCTAAGTTGACCAGCACAGTGCACTTGACATTTGGCTACGCAGCACGTCGTTATTTCCACTTATTGCTAAGATCTGACATCCGTATTTATTACGCGCTCGGGCAAGGGTCAATTTACCCCCCCCCCCCCCCTCGGAAGGTCCTTCCAGGATGATTTCCGACCGACGCGGCGTAGCCGCACCGAACTGCATGGATGTAGATCATTTAATGACGGATCTTCTGGTCTGCAAAATCTGACGTGCATTGTATGGTTGATCACCTATAACGGGTCATAGGTGTCATATCACCTCTTATGTCATGTTATAGGTCACAGGTCATAGGTCATATTACTCAGGTCATGGCTTTTAGCGAGTGCAAATGAGAAATCATTCAGAAATTTGCAGCGATGGAGTGTTAGACGAAGCCAAACATCTCTTAGACATACTCTTAGACGATGAGTCGATTTAATTTAGGAATTCGACTTAATTCATAGACCTTGGGTCAGCTATGAAGGTAAGGCGGAGGTCAAAACCGAGTTGTTTATTGACTGGAGAACTTGCTTCTTGGGTTCATATTTGATGCTTATTTCGAGTGTGTTGGTCACACGGACGTCAACAGATATATTGGTTGGACGGATTGAAGGTTAGATTTCCTTGACCCAAAATGACCCTGATCCACCTTCTGTTTTTAGAACATACCACCTAACGAAATCCTTCATGCCTATCTCAATTCAGCAGTCAAGTGAATCTCACAGGTTTCTGGTCACCGTGACCTTCTAAACATCAAATAAGGGCACTGGCCGGACAGGAACGCCGATGAGTTTTTGCTTAGAACAGGTACTTGGGTGAAAGCGGCTGCATGATGATGTCTAGAATCAATGGACACCGATTTGGAGTTTGACTTTGCTCGACCTTATTTGACCCGGATGTCATGACCAAGAGATTTTAAAGTTTGGTAAAAGATGGTTTAAATTTGTCATAATTTTTGGTTTTTATGTCTTTAATTTTAAAATTACCAGTCCCCCACAGCCAGGCGCGTCGTATTCAACCGGTCGGGCCGCGCGCGTGTGCGGCCATCTGTCGGATCGGGGGCTCTGTGGGTTGTGCTCGAGAGCGTGCGACCGTCACACACTGGCCCATGTCTTTGCCACCGTCATTGCTCGTTCTCTCGGCCATGAGAATCTCTTTGTATCGGGACTAGGCTTCGACCCGTCCTCTCCCCCCCCCCCCCCCCCATTTGCACGCAATGTGGAAATTTTGTATTTACCTTGTGATCTGAACGGGGAGGTGAATGTGGTGATGTTGCATTGTTGCAGGAAAGCCCTCCTGATCGCTGTGTGTGCACATGGCTGACAATTTACGCAGCGTCATATGATCAGAATTCCAATTTTTCTGTTTATAAATGCATGAACCAGTAATCTGGCTGCAAAGAGAAGTGTGACGTATGGGCTGGGCCGGACCGGGCTGCTCAAGCTAAAATGTTCCCGTGTATGTCTTACGTTCTCGGCCTGTGGTCTCATTCATAATCCTGCGATACTCATTTTGCTCTCGGTGGTTATGTGGTTGTCAGGTTTTTGTGCGAAAATGTTGAACAATTTCTTTTAGACATGTGTCTTAAGAACTTCCATGTTCACAGGGCTGTTGGAACAGGACTCGGTGAAACAGCAGGGCGCAAGTATCAGGACTCGAGATATCATTGGGAAAAACGGAAAATATAAAGGCTCACTCTTTTCGAGACGAATCGGAAAGTGCATGAATAATTCGTTTGGACCGGGGAGTCAAATGGTTAGCGACCTGATGGACGCTGACAAAGAACAAACAGAACCTGTCACTAGCACTGCATCTGCCGGAAAAAAGACCGCATGTTCTACTGGTCGTGAAGACGAGAACCTGATTCTAGCACCAAAATCCCGCAGGAGGCGCTACCACTGTGAAGTTTGTGGAAAATCATTCATGACTGACGTTTCTTTGAAGGTTCATAAGAAAGCCCACGCCGACGGCGTCACAGAGGGTCAGCGATGTGAATTCTGTGGGAAAAACATCCGTTCAAAGATACCAGCAGTACTGCGGGTACATTACCGAACTCACAGCGGCGAGAAGCCGTACAGCTGCGGGACGTGCGGAAGGTCGTTCGCGCAGAAATGTGATCTGAGTGCCCACCACCGTATTCACACTGGTGAGAAGCCCTATCGGTGCGGGTTGTGTGGCGCAGCTTTCACGCAGCAAAGCTCACTCACTAGACACAACCGTATTCATACGGGTGATAAACCGTACCACTGTGATGTCTGTGGGAAGTCGTTCACCCGGAAATCGTCGCTGGTTGTTCACTCTTGTCTTGACACGAAAGAGAAAACCCACCGGTGCGACAGCTGCGGGGAGTGGTTTTCTCATCTGCGCGCTTTCAGGCACCACACACGCACCAAGCACGGTGAGGGACCGTATTCGTGCGGCGTCTGTGGAAAACAGTTCACTCTTAAAGACAGCCTCATAGTGCACGGACGTCTTCACACAGGAGAACGAGCGCATTGCTGCGACATCTGTGGGAAACGGTTCACAGTAAAGGGGGAGCTCACGAGACACTACCGGAGGCACACGGGCGAAAAGCCATATGGGTGTAAGGTGTGCGGTAAATCTTTCACGCAGAACACCATCCTCGTCAGGCACAGACGAACTCATGCTGAGCGTGAATAATGCGTACGGGTAGGACCCGTCGACCTTGGCCAACGATTTTACATTCCTTGCGGTCTAAATCAATCAATTTGATATATGTTAGGTATTAATCATCAACTTTTTTGCGATATTCCTTTTGTGCACTGCAGTGATTCCAAAACACGGGACAATTGCTTGGATGCCGCAAGTGTTTGCACGCTTGCTTCGTTCGCTCTCTTAAACGTAGACATTTGATTTATCTGTATTGCAGGTGGATGCCGATAGGTATATGTCATGCTGCGAGATATGTAGTCCTTTCCGCCCTCGGAAGAGACCGTCGAAAGCTGTCACGTTTGGGCTGTACATCTTGCAATGCTTAGGCCATGACGACCCTGTGTCGCGCTTTAGTTGCCTTCTGTTCTAGGGCCTTGAGTTGCCTTTTGTGCGACTTCGTGCGTGGGATGTCGCAGGCATTCGAGCATTTCGGGTGACGAAGCTGAATTCTTCTGTGGGTCTCTGAGATGAAGGCTGGAAGTGGCTGCCGTACGTCCGGAACGTTTCATGCCATTTACTGGGATCATGTGATGCGGAAGTAAAGTATTATCAGTGCAGCACCAAGTTTTTTATCACGTCACTATCCAGCTGTAGTGTGCTGTTTTTTGTGTTTTTTTTTGTCGAATGCAACTATTTGTTAGAGCAGCGTTCGTGGCAAAATATTGCCTGTTTCCAGACTGCAAAGAATGGAATGTTACGACATACTCTGCTAAACTGAAGTTAATGTCGCATGCGTTTTTGTTACGATCTCAAAGGAGACTTATGATCAGAATTCAGGAAATGCGACGAAAGCTTGAGAGAGAGAGAGAGAGAGAGAGAGAGAGAGAGAGAGAGAGAGAGAGAGGAGAGAGAGAGAGAGAGAGAGAGAGAGAGAGAGAGAGAGAGAGAGAGAGAGAGAGAGAGAGAGAGAGAGAGAGAGAGAGAGAGAGAGAGAGAGAGAGAGAGAGAGAGAGAGAGAGGAGAGAGAGAGAGAGAGAGAGAGAGAGAGAGAGAGAGAGAGAGAGAGAGAGAGAGAGAGAGAGAGAGAGAGAGAGAGAGAGAGAGAGAGAAGAGAGAGAGAGAGAGAGAGAAGAGAGAGAGAGAGAGAGAGAGAGAGAGAGAGAGAGAGAGAGAGAGAGAGAGAGAGAGAGAGAGAGAGAGAGAGAGAGAGAGAGAGAGAGAGAGAGAGAGAGAGAGAGAGAGAGAGAGAGAGAGAGAGAGAGAGAGAGAGAGAGAGAGAGGAGAGAGAGAGAGAGAGAGAGGAGAGAGAGAGAGAGAGAGAGAGAGAGAGAGAGAGAGAGAGAGAGAGAGAGAGAGAGAGAGAGAGAGAGAGAGAGAGAGAGAGAGAGAGAGAGAGAGATATATATATATATATATATATATATATATATATATATATATATATATTTCTAACCCTCGTGAATTTGAAAAAAAATACTTGTTTAGTACATGCATTACCAAAGAAATGATGAATCACGCGCTCTGTTCGTGTCTCCCAGTTCGATTCGGTGTGTGCATCGCATTCTAGCGCGTACACACCAGAAATATCTTATCTCCCTGGCGCTTTTCCGTTCCTGGTCAACAAAATTATAAGGTAGAATCAATCGGGCTTGCCGCCGGAACTCTGTATAATACCACGCACCGGGCTCAAACAAAATAAGCGGTCTTCTTTGTACTTTGTTGGCAGTCAGTCAAAAAGGCCAGATAGGGCTCGCGATCTCTTTCCTACATCCTCCGTTCAACATTAAGAACTGTGAGCAAAGGACGTGCCGCGCCTCTGGGCATCCACTACAGACCGCTTGGATCAACAGAAACAGCAAAAAGACAGCATCTACGAAGACACTATTCACCCCCTCTCTGCACCAGGCAGGCGGGTGGGTATTTGTGGCGTGCGAAGCCCGCCTCGGGCATACTTTTATCAAATATGTGGTGTGCGAGTTAGAATGCAAGTTGTGGGGGAGGTGTGCCGGGGAACAGGACGTCCTGTGGGGTTATCACGGCTCGACGAATGTCTGCAGTGCAAAGGCAGCAAGTTGTCTGTCACACGTATCAGTGATTGCGCAGGTTGTGATTTGTTACGGCTTGTATTGTATGTTTTGCGCCTGATGGAGCGGACTGCTGGCTCATGGATTGAGATTATTGGTCGCGACGGTGAAAGCTGTACCCCTCCGCCCAATGGGAGATGGTCGGCGCCGGCACCTGTATATTGTGGCCGCTCATGGTGTGTACCTTGCCGTCCGTGTGCATGTAGAGTGGAAATCAAATAAATTATTGCGCTGGAGCACCAGATAGGTGCGTCCCTGAACGGGGCAGGACTCCGGTGGGTATAGGGTGGTAGGTATAGTGTGTGGCCACCTGTTGATGAAAGGTGCACCGGTGTATGGGGTAATGTTTGCGATGTTTTGGATGGCATGGCAGGTCACGGCACTGTTTTCTATATGTTGGTCACTGAGGCAATATTCCGGGTAAGCGAAGAGGAAGAGATTGATTAAGTAGCGGGGTTTGTGCGATCTAGTCGCATCTGTATTGCTCTTTCGCCTTTCTGTTGGGAGGAAAGCAAGTGAATTTTGAACACGGATAGGGTGCGGGGTGCGTAGTTGAATGATAATGTGATGACCATGACGTACTTGTGCTTCTTTTGTTTTCAAGCTGATGAGGGCAAGTGGCCGAATATATTTTGTACGTTTTCGTCGCTTTCCGTGGATCTCGCGCACAAGGAAACGTCTCAATTTCAACGGCGTTATATGATGGTGTTCATATTGGCTCTCGGCGTTACCTTTACGTTGAGAACACGTTTTCGTCTGCTCTGCTTGATGTGAACGCTGCGGCTTTCATTACCCTGAACGTAGCGGTTGCGTGCGTACTACGAAGGAACGTTGCGAAAAACAACACGTGAATCATCAGTATGTAAACCGTGTAAACCTATCAGAAGAAGAAGAGTTATGTCAGTAATATGAATTCGGACTTCTGATTCTGACAGTTATCAACCTTCAATGTGCCAGGAAGTGCTGTTAAAGCAACGATATCAAGCTGACTGGTGGTATCGTCGATACCCCACGTTCAAGCATTGCTTGCATAGCTCGAATTGTCGAATATTGACAACTTAACTATTTTTTTCTCTACAATATAGGGGAAAGCGGGGTAAGACGGACACCTTAACGGTTTTTTGAATATGGCAAGTTCATAAGTCTGTCCAGAAAGTCTTTAGCAGGTGGATACTGAAGGCTGGTCAATTCTCTATCTCTTATAAAAGCGCTGGCTTGATACCTCTTCATGTTAAAGTGTGATCCTCCTAAATATCAGGCAATGTTTTTTCCTCATTTTGCCCCTGGCTTGGGGCAAAACGAAGCAGTATTCGGAGCAAAGCGGACAAGTGATGAGATTGAATAAGCGAAATAAATATTTTCAAAGTTATCACTTTTTTTAATGAGAACGCATCAATAAATGCATTGATCGGTGAGTAGGTATTTATCTGGACATCCAGTAGCTATATTGCTTAAGTTTGGGCTCTCATATTTTGTTTGAACCATCCCACTCCATACTCCTTTCCTCAATATGATCCCACGAATAAAAGTTATAATGGCCAGCAAATATGTATTACAGCTTAGTATGAAGCGACAGCCATTGCCGCATGGCTTAGACACAGAATTAGAGGACCACAGCGTGATGGTTTGACAATGGGACGAAAACAATGAAGTCTCAAACACACAAGTCATCGAGCAAAGTTCGCTCAGGAACACTCACTCGTTCTTCTCATCAATCCACTTCTTAGCCACTGTGAACGCAAAACACGAAAAGAGCACAGCCTGGTGGACCCGCCAGCAGGTATGACCAATGGCAAAACTAGACAAGACATCAGCCTGCCTAGTCATCCCGGCACAGTTCGCACACGAACACGCACTCATCCTCTTCATCGATCCCTGCACGGGCATCGTGCGCCCATTTATCGCAGAGAGCACATCTCGACCAAGACTCGCTCGATTTGGACATGGAGAAGAGAGATCCACAGTACAGACAAGCTACATCTTCTTCGTCCGAGGACTCCCCAAAGGTAAGCTTTCGCGGCGTACGCTTCTTTTGTTTGCGTTGCGCTTTCTGAGTTTGTACTCTCTTCCTTTTTCGTCCCTTACACTGACTTCTGCCGTCATTTTTATTTCCTCCCTGTCTACCTTCTTTTCCTTCGATTCTTTTCTCGAGTTCCTCCTTGTATGGTGTGCCAGTCAAGACTCACGTTTTACCGTTCTTTCGTCCTTTACCTCTCGCCTCCCTTGAGCGCACTTTTGGCACAAGGAGGATTTCGCGGAGGGACGCATAGAAGCTTGCGGGTGTATTGTTCGACCTTGGGAAGCATGGCTCGGTCCAGCTGAGCATGACACTTCTAGAACGTCATCTTCGTCATCACTAGACCTTGAGAAATCATCTGGCAGTGCCCCAGCGGTGAGCAACCTCGCCGGAGTTTCGGCATTAGTCGAGCTTCCCTGCCCCGATATTCCAGCCTGCGTTGCGTCTCCGGCGACAGTTTCCGAGGACTCCCGAACGTTCGTGCTCACCGAGACATCAACGTCAGAGGGCCCAGGCATGGGCAGAGGAGCTGCTGCTGAGTTGAGACCCACTGGTGCGTCTGCGGTGCCGGCCAGCGAGATGTTCGTTGTTTCTGCCGCTGCGTAGTCTTCTTCGCCAAACACATGGCGGTTTGTGGGAAAGATCCCCGTGACTTCGAAGCCCTTCAACGCCGTCTTCACACTTGCCGCCTGCACGTAGGCTGACCCGATCAGCTCCCCCATCTCATACAGACTTTACCAGGGTTGTTTCGGAGCCACGTTCTCTGACCTTGGAAGAAGAAGGTGCTGACGGGAAGCATGAACATCCGGTCCAGTGGTTGAAGGCGGTGTGAGGTGTGCGGAGGAATGGTGAGCATCACCACACCTGCTTCCCTGCACAGCAGGATGGCTGCGAGGCTCTTGGTGTGGCTGGCATGTGCATCCAGTATGAGAAGGACTGGATCCTGTTTCGAGAGCTTCGCGTGCTGTATGAAATGGTCAAGCCATTTCGCGAACAGCTCCTTCTGCATCCGACCAGACTCATAGTACAGCACCAGGCTACCTGGGGGAAGACCCTTCTCCAGCTGCTGGTTGGCCCTCTTTCTTGGGAATATTGCACCTATAGGTATGTAGCTCCCCGCAGCGTTAATACACATCACTCCGGTAACCAGAGTGCCTCGTTCCGCAGATGTCAGGTGGCCGACCTGCTTGCACCCTTTCCTCGCCAGCACCTTCTCTTGTTTTGTTGCGGCCGTGTCGAATCCCGTTTCACCCATGTTGTAGATGCGTGTGGGACCGAACTGGGCAGAATCCATCTGTGACTCAAGGTTGTCGAAGAGCGCGTTGACATTGACTGAGTTGAACGCCGCGGCACGAGCAACGCTTGTGGCCTGTTGTGTCCTTAGTGAGACCGTGCGGTTCCTCTTGCGGAAACACCGTATCCACGCCTCCTCTGCCATCTTCGTCACCGTGTTGAATGGGTGAGTGATTTTGTTTCTGTCTGTGAACTCATATGCGAGCTTCTTGAGGTCAGTCAGCGTTATTCCGAACATCCGGTTTTGGAGCTCCATCATGTGCTGTACCAAATCTCGCTCCTGAGCTTCCGTGAAAACAGGTTCGTGTCGACCCAGGACCTTCTCTGTGGCCTCTGTTATTGACATTGCCCGTGTTTTTTTTTCAGCCGTCTGTCGAGAGTCGACTTCGGGACCAGAAAGCGGCCTGCCGCTTCTTTGGTGGACGCTTTTCCCACCTTGACTGTTTTGATGGCCTTCGCCATCGTATCCTGCTTCCAGGATTGCTG